TTACATTGGTCTTATAGGAGGCACTCGTCGGGGTATCGGGGCTTCTACAGGTAGGATTGTGTGGTCAGTACCATTCTACAGAGGAACAAGGCCGAGTTGTGGTATGTTGGTGCGGAAACAAGCTAGGTGAAGCGAAGCTGAAGGCTGGAAGAATTCGAATCACTCACAAAGGCGAGTTGGTATGAGGGGCTCTGAAGCCGTAATTATACGACGAGCCGTCCATAGCGTCGTTCGTTTATGTGATGGTTTCGGAGCCGTCTACTGCTTCATTGCTCGGTTTCTCTGACTACGATTGAGGACGTTCCAAGCTTCGCCGATGACTCGGAACTGGGTATCGCGAAGCGCGCGGGTTGCGGGTTGCGGTTGGTTCCCGATGGGATCAGGCGGGTGGCCAGAGACGTTGCGACGCTGGCTTCGACCCAGTGCGAACTTTCGGATGGGATCAGGAGCACGAGGATGAGTTACCAAGTTGATAACGACAACGAGAATTGGAATGAAAACAGACGCGTCCCAAGAAGCCAAATAATCGTCACGTTCTGTAGGGGGACAGAGACAGGAACTGGGCTGATAATGATGAAGGTCGGCAGTCTGACAAGGCCCGAATCTCGCTGGAGATGGGCGATGGGCGACGGGGAACCCAAAGAAAGACGGGATGATAATTTGGGGGCTTGGGAAGTTGGGAAGTCGGGGGGGACGTGGCTTGGGGCGGGCTACGCAAGGACATGAGATACATGTGCTGTAGTGGCGGGGATGGCTTGGGTTGATGTATCTTTTGTCGTACCTTCTGATGAGGTAGCAGCGCGACCCAGCCACAGCCCACGCGATACTTCGTACTGCCACCACTGCGTAGGTATGGTGCCTCGCCCTCTTCTTGCCTGTGGACTCACTAGGTAGACTGTGGTGCTTTTTTTTTGTTTCTGCCTTCTCGGTGCGGGAACATCTCATCAGCAGAGCTGCACAGTTCATGCCGGGCTATCCCAGCGCTGTCGCATTGGAATGTCAATCATCAGCAACGCAAAGGCGGGAAACTACTTTGACCACCAATGCCACCCTTGAAGGACAGACCCGTTGGACGTGCTGAAAAAGAGGGGAATGAGCTGGGGGTGTTTTCCAATGGAAGCTCGAGGATGCCACCGACTGGATCACGAAGAACAGGGATATTTCGTAAACGGCCGCCTAGTCAGGCTGGTGTGGCTTGAGCCTTGGAAGTTGCTGTTTCTCAGGATGCTGTCCGCTTGAGTGTGTGGGTGACGATCTCCTGCGTCTTGAATGGACTCGTACGCCTTGTGAGAGAGTAGGTTGTGTATGCAAGAGACTCGGACACCACGAGGCAAAGTTTCGTCATTGCAGCCTTGATTGAGTCTAAGGTGAGTGACGCGAGTGTAACAATTTTAGTTGCGCTTGGTTTGAAGCTGATTGACTTGAGAACTTGAATAACACGCTCCGTACGGCTACCGTGCATCAGAAATGCTGTGAAACACAGTCAGCCGGGCCCCATTGGCGTCACCCAACGGCGCAGTGCAGCAAGTCAATACCTGGCAATGAAGGTGCGCCTTCTTCCTGTAAGTGACGACCCATAGCTTGCGGTTTAAACGTGGAATAACCTTACTTGAGGTACAAGTCAAAGGCAGATCGAGATAGAAGTACCCATGTTTGCACTCTTCACGTCGCGCATTCAGATGAGCACTTCCTGAGTAACATTCACAAGACATGTTTCTTCTTCGCTGCGTTCGCATCTATCTCCATCATGTGCCTCGAGGCACCCAAAGTACCTAAGGTTCGAAGTAGGTGTCGCTAGAGTCTACAGCGCGGGCAGACCCGAGGATTCCTCAAGGCAGGTAAGGTACAGAGGTACATCGGAAGACGTGCCTCGAAGTACCTTACTCACCTCGCGGCGCACCTGTGTGAGAGTAAGAGGTGGTATGCAGGTAACGAGGCGTGCCAAACTTAGATGTGGCGGTGCATGCACAATTCTGCACCGGGCCACGAGCCACACTCCCAAGTCCCAAAGCTCCCAGCGCTGGCGATTGCACAACGGCCAAAGTCCAGGCCCAGGGATGGAATGTGCTCCTGAAGGGATGGGCGGAGGACAGGTTGAAGTTGCTCTCCGTGGGAAATGTACCTAGGTATCGGGACACCCTGGCCCCGTCGCTCCCGCAGAACCAGTCCAGTGACTGCAGCGCTACACCAATGAATCTCGACTTGGACCTGGACGCCCCGGACCTGGAACTCGGCCACGACGCTCGTTTGCCTCAACTAACAACTAACAACTCTCCAGCTCGACTTTTTTAGATTGATTCCTCGATACTTCTTCGCCCTATCGCCAACTTGAGAACCCGGCGCTGTAATCGACTCATTCTCCCAACTATACCCAACGCTCGCGCGCATTGTACAACAACACTTCAGCCTTTCTTTGCCAGCCGCAGCCACTGCCGCGCTCCCAAAAGTGCCCGTCCGTCAATTTGACACAGCTCATTTCCCATCCCTGACTATCCACCTCTATCGCCAAACCCAGCTCGACGACAACTCTCCCGCACTCAAAGAACCCCTCAACGATCCCGAACGCGCTGGCCGCCACGCCCCAGAAACCCGTAGTCTAGATTCCGAAGCCGGCCCCGTCTCAGACGCTATTCCACGATGGCGGTCGCATCGATACAGGACCGAACCGCCGAGTTCAAATCGGTCCTCGCTCAAGCGCAACGTCGACAGGCTTCCAGCAAGGTTGGCGCTCAACGACGGTCACTCCTCACCGACTCCCAAAAAGCCGCCAGCGATGGCGACTCGCGACCCCGGCGCTCCGATTTTGCGCGCCAGGCGGCGCAAATCGGGAGAGGAATTTCGGGCACAATGGCAAAGTTGGAGAAGCTGGCAACATGTATGCCTTCGGGTCCCAAGGGATGCTCTGCAATAATCACGGCATGGCGCTGACAAGAACTCTTTCCACAGTGGCGCGGCGCAGGACCCTGTTTGACGACCGACCAGTCGAGATCAACGAGCTCACGTACATCATCAAGCAAGATTTGAGCGCCCTGAACCAGCAGATTGGAGGCCTTCAGGTTCTCACGAAGCAGCAACATCCAAAGGCCGACCAAGAGGGAGAACACAACAAGAATGTCGTCTTTATGCTGCAAGGCAAGCTGACGGACGTGTCGGCCAACTTCAAGGATGTCCTGGAGGAGAGAACCAAGAACATCCAGGCCTCAAGGTCCAGGACAGATAACGTGGGCTTCAGTCCTGGTTTCCATAGAGATGGACCCATGCTGATATGGATTTATGTGTTTACAGTTCATTTCGAGCGTTTCCCAGCACACGCAACCACCTCTCCAACAATCAGCATCGCCGCTGTACGGAACACCCCAACGGGGGACGCCGTCCCCAGGCGCAGATCTGCTGTCGCTGAATCCGCCAGGAGACCAGCAGCTTCTCATGATGGAAGAGGCGCAACCGCAAAACACATATATCCAGGAGAGAGGTGCTGCTATTGAAAGCATCGAATCCACTATTGCGGAGCTTGGATCTGTAAGTCTTGGTGGTTTGGCACGATACTGGGACAGTATGGGCTGACGGGAGGATACACAGATCTTTGGTCAGCTGGCGACGATGGTTTCGGAGCAGAGCGAGATGATCCAGCGCATCGATGCAAACACGGAAGACGTTGTCGACAACGTGCAAGGAGCACAAAGAGGTGAGTTTCCGCAGGCTCCGTGCTACAGTCACGCAGGCGTCCGCATGGGAACTAATTCTTTTGTCCGCAGAACTTCTCAAGTACTGGGGTCGTGTTTCCAGCAACAGATGGCTCATTGCTGTATGTCGTGCCCCTCCTCATCGTCGCCCTTGGACATTTCGATGCGAAGAATCCTGTTCACGTTTACTGACAGAAATGGGTAGAAAATGTTTGGTGTACTCATGATTTTCTTCCTGTACGTTCCACATCAGCTTCGCCTCTAGATTGGGGAATTTGTCACTAACTCACCTCACAGACTTTGGGTCCTCATTGCCGGTTAGCAGTGTGCGACGATCACGAGGGCAACGAACGGCGGTTCGGAGGATTGGGGCGGAACTCAAAGTGTTCATTCAGCAGGAGATGGATGGCGTTGAGTTGTGTAATATCAGTACCCTTCAGTTGTATCATGACATTGACGCTGGGACGGGGATGGACGCGGACGCGGACGCAGCGCAGCTATAGAGCTTTCTTCCTTGCATAAATCTAGATCTATTAATCACAAAAGAGGTTAACTTCGGCGAAGCATTGGCGGCCCCACGAAGTATGTACCTTAGCTCGCCTCAGGCTCTTGCATCGGACGCCAGCGTCACTGCACCAGCGTGTGGATGAACGTGGGGGTGGAGGAACAGAGGAAGCAGAAGGTACAGGATACCTACGAATCGGTAGGGTGGGCAACATGCCAACTAACGTCAGGAACCCCGGCTTAAAGTGCCTCAGACTCTGAGTAAAGTGAAGTGAGGTAATGGGGGGAGAGGGACGGGGTCAGAGTAATGCGGCCAAGCGCCCGGACCTCGGGCTTGGTTCCGGGAACTTTGCCCGCACTTTGAACCGTCCCAACCCCCCGCCGGAAACCGGCCGCTGTGAGAAAGGAATAGAAAAAAAAAGGAAAAAAAAAAGAGAGAGAGAGTCTCCCCACGCTATTGTCTCTAACACGCTCCAAGCAAACCAAACTTGGCACTTTTCATGACTCGGCCCAACAAAACCCGAGAGCTGCTCCGACGACCCAGAGAATTAATCCATAAATGGTAACACAAGGCCCACCAATGGGAGAAGGGATCCCGTAGAATCTGTGGTAGGCTGGTACTGTTGTAACACTAGGTATTACCTACCCCGTACAGCTTACGGGGTTTCTAGCAGTGACTTGACAAACTGGGGAAATCCACACGAAAAGAGGGACAGCCCAGGCAGCTCTTGCCCAACCCCGCCGGCGAGCCTTTCTTCACTTTTAGGGAGCTGAGGACCAAAGGAGGAGCGTCACAGGTGATGGGCAAATCGAGATCCGTCTATACTTCCTCAGGTAGTTGGCCATGTAATTATGTACCTTTTCTGGCCAGAGGTGAAGGGGGAGGTGGAGGAGGAGACGCATCGTCTAGCATTTACCCGGCCTTTTGTGACCGCGACACATTACCCTGATAGTCTCGCTCTCTCCTTGGCTCTTGTTGCTCTCTTCGTCGATATATATACCGAGATCACACACCTACCACCTCCGTCCCTTTCTTATCCCGAGTGAGGTTTCTCCTTTCCATTGAACTTTTTTTCCCCCCTCCTTCTCTTACTCCCGAGTCAAGAGTTGTATGCTTGTTCTATTCTCCAGAACACTCTCCCACATCAAATTACCCCGCCCCCGCATTCTCATCCAGGAGTTGTCGCAACATCAACAACATCGCCAACCCCTCCTCAGTAGACATTACATCCACTCAGCAACAGTCAAGATGGCTTCCCAGACTTTCAAGTTGAACTCGGGATACGAGATCCCCGCTGTGGCTCTTGGTATGCAAACCTCCTCACTCAAAAGACCCATTCTAGATAAACCCCCATGAGAAGAACCCACGACTAACGTCATCGTCCAACCAAAAAGGCACCTGGCAATCCGCCCCCGGCGAGGTCACAAAGGCCGTCTCCTACTCCCTCTCCGTCGGCTACAAGGCCATTGACGGCGCCTACTGCTACGCCAACGAAGATGAGGTCGGTGCCGGCCTCAAGGAGGCTTTCGCCAACGGTGTCAAGCGCGAGGACATCTTTGTCGTCACCAAGCTGTGGGCCACCTACACCATTGGCGACGACAAGGTCAAGGAGGGCCTGGAGAAGAGCTTGAAGAGTCTGGGTCTCGACTACGTCGACCTCTTCCTCGTCGTATGTTTCTCACTCACATCCTGACTAGGTAAATATCAGAAAGACATAAGTGACTAACAATAACAGCACTGGCCCGTCGCAATGAACCCCAACGGCAACCACGACAGGTTCCCCACCAAGCCCGACGGCTCCCGCGACATCATCCACAGCCACTCCCACGTCGACACCTGGAAGTCGGTCGAGAAGCTCCTCGACACGGGCAAGGTCCGCTCCATCGGCGTCTGCAACTACAGCGTCAAGTACCTCGAAGAGCTCCTCCCGCAAGCCAAGGTCGTGCCCGCTGTCAACCAGATCGAGAACCACCCGAGCCTGCCCCAGCAGGAGATCGTCGACTACTGCAAGGAGAAGGGCATCCATATTATGGCCTACAGCCCTCTCGGCTCCACGGGTGGCCCCTTGCTGACCGCGGCGCCCGTCGTCAAGATTGCCGAGAAGCGCGGCGTCAGCGCCGGTACCGTCCTGTTGAGCTACCACGTCGCGCGCGGCAGCACCGTGATTGCAAAGTCGGTGACGGAGAGCCGGATCAAGTCCAACTTGGAGATTGTCAAGCTCGACGACGAGGATCTGAAGGAGCTGCGGGCGTACTCTGACGATTTGACGGCCAAGAAGGAGCTGAAGCGCTATGTGTACCCGCCGTTTGGCATTGACTTTGGATTCCCGGATAAGTCGTAGATTCTTTTGTCCTTTTTGCCAGATAAATAGAGCGAAGAAATAGAAATGATTTAAAGCGCATTCTTGTTTACAGCAACTGTTCCATTGATTGTGGTGATAAAACCTTGTCCGAATGACGGGTGTTGTGTGAGGCACATGCTTGCGTTGAATGTGTTCGAACTTGTCATTGCCCAGAATTATTCTCTATGTTCCAACTGCCTCGGTGAAATAACACCAAACTTCACATTGCACACAATAATCACTCACTCAAACACGGCTCTCCCAAATTGTAACTCAAAATCATCACTTTTTTAATTATTTACAGTCGCTATCATTTCTCTAATTCGACGTATCCACCAAAACCTTGAGCACCAGATTCCCGCTCTCGTCCTTGACCTTGGCCGCCATGTCAAACGCGTCCTTGATGGTGCTCAGCCCCTTGTACCGGTGCGTAAACAGCTTCTCGAGCGCGGGCAGGCCCTTTGGTTTCGTGGCGATGAGGTCGATGGCCTTGGGGTACGTGTTGGCGTACCGGAACACGCCCACAAAGTCGACCTCGCGCAGCGCCGCCGCCGAGATGGGCAGCGTCTGGATCGGGGTGCCCATGCCGATGATGAGGATCTTGCCGCCTGGGCGTGTGGACTGAGAGGAAGTCACTTGTCAGCACATCTCAATTCGCAATCTGAAGACCCCTTTCGAACAGGAAGGGGAACTCACAAAGATGGCAGTCTGCATGCACGTCTCGACGCCGGTACACTCATACGTCGCATTCACCTCGCCCACCGCCGCTCCTCCAATCTCGGCCTTCTTGACCAGCTCCGCGACGCTCTGCGCGTACGCCAGCTTGTCCTCGATGGTCTGCGGGCGCTGCGCGGGGACGACGACGCCGGCGTCGGCGAAGCCGTTGTCGAGCGCGAACTGCACGCGGTCCGCCTGGATGTCGGCGATGACGACGCGCTGCTGGTCGGCTTTGCTCACGGCGGCGCAGAGCAGGCCCACGGCGCCGGCGCCGAAGACGAGGACGGTCGAGTTGCTGGGGAGGTTGCCGCGGTCGCGGGCGTGCATTGCGACGGAGAGGGGCTCGGCGAGGGCGCCGAATTCGAGTGAGACTTCTGAGGGGAGCCTGTTTTTTTGAGGTCAGAGGTCAGCATACCTTTGCACCTCACGAAAAAGCTCCGGGTAGTTTGCGCCGGTACTTACTTGTGACACCACTTTGCCGGGTGGTTCACCAGCTCCTGAAGCGTGCCCTGGGCATGCGGGAACGCCTTTGCGGAGCTGCGGAACTTCATGCCCTTGCAGATGTTGTAGCGGCCCGCGGCGCAGAGCTCGCAGGCCTCGCAGGGCTGGCCAACCTCGAGAGCGACGTGGTCGCCGACGGCGAGGTTAGAGACGTCCGAGGCGACGGCGGTGACGACGCCGCTGGACTCGTGGCCGAGGGTTAAGGGTTCCCGCACGAGGATGTCGCCGTTGCGGAAGTGGTTGTAGTAGTGCAGGTCGGAGCCGCAGAGGCCGGTGGCCTTTACGGCGACTTGGACTTCGCCTGGCGCGAGGGCGGGGAGTTGTCTTTGTTCCTGTCGCTCCGAGTTAGATCTTGCGCTTGACGGTGCGTCTGCCTGGGATTCTCGGAGCTTTCTAGGGAGTGGTTGTTGGACTTACGATCTTGAGGTCCCTCGCGCCGTGAAGGACGGAGGTCTGGACTTGGACACTTGACATGGTGGGCTATGTACTCTTACTGCTGGGCGAGATGTAGAGGTGATTCAGAGAGGGAAGAAGATAGCTACGACGATATTATGAAGAGGGAAGGGGGTATGTAAGTGCGAAAGTGGTTCCAAGAAATTGGAAGCTGTTGAGAAAGTGGGCAGGACGGCCAGTTATGAGTATGCTTTTACTTTTTGGTCAAGAGCAGAGCAGAGCAGCGCAGAGCAGAGCAGGTCAAGGCAAGGCAAGGTACGTATGGTTAAACACAAGTCCGATATCGACGGATCGGAAAACGCGACTTAAGTCAAGCTACTAGGGGTGGACGCGAATCGGCGGAGGCGTGTGATGCAAAACGGAAATGCGGGTTACGAGAGAGACTTGGTCGGTGGGGGGAAGCACCGAGCTACTCCTACCAGGCAACCCGACGACCTGGGAAGCTGCTAGTTGTGATCTATAGCCGAGTGAGGAATTCTCGACTCGGCTTGAGTACAAGTACGCCGAATTGTCCATCTCCAGACACAAGTGTCAAGTTACCTAGCCAGCCTCCACAGCTACTGAAAGCTTGGAGACTCGGGGGCGAGCTTCTAAGATGCTTGCCGGTGCCAGTCAGTCACCCAGTGTATCGAGTACCAAGTACGAGATGATGACACTTGCGACAGTTGGACAGTGCTGAAAGAGGGGGAAGACTAACACGGAATGGATACTCTTGCTTGAGAAAGCATTGCTGGACACACGGTTCGTGTGGAGTTTGTGGAGATTTAGAGCGAAAGGCAACCGGTCAACATGACTAGGTAAGTTACGAAAGTACGGATACATGGTCAAGTTTGAGCATTTTGCCGGAAAGAATGCCGCGTCCGCCTTCGAAGACGAGGCGCATCGTGGATTGGTTCAATGGTGGATGTTGCGGGATGAAATCTTGATGGACCATGGAACGAGTGGAGGGGGCGCGGGTGGAAAGAGGGGGAGGGGCAATCCCAATTGCCAATTGCCAAGTCAGCCTCTCAGTTTCTTCCTATGATACCCGCGGGTTATGGACCCTTACTCAACTCATACAAGTGGTGGTGAAAGTGACCCCCATCCAATATGGGCAATACACGCCGAAAACTCAGAGGGGACCCCGTCGCGGGGTTGGAGAAAACGGCCGCGGAGGCCAAACACGGCAATTCTGTCCTAAGGCGAGCGCTACGTATCTTTCACCTACTTTACAAAGTACAGAGTACCTACAAGTTTTATACCCCAGAAAAAGCTAAGAAAAGAGACAGATACAACTAGGCAATCCCGTCGAAGATGGCCGGCAACACAGCCCGAGAGCGATCGAGAATTGATAATTACAGCATCGGTGATTCGCAGAAGACTCGGGTTCTCCTATCCTCATGCCTTCGGTTTGAGCCAGAGACCTTTGCTCTTCGTCTGTCTTTCGTGTTCTTTCTCCTCTTCCCCACCCATCGTGACTTTTTTTCGTGTCTTCTCCGACGTGCGGGGAGAAGGCCAGCGACTAATCCCACTTTACCGTCACCTAGCGTTTCTTACGTGGGGGTACCGGCCCGAGTCTATTGTCGTCAGGTATTCATTACCTTCGTTTTCGCCCCCAAAGTCATTCTCGACGCTTCAATGCCAATTACTCCTGATCTCTCATGTTGCAGAAGCTATGATATGCTATAGTTGGACTCTTCGATTCTTCCACGGCATTACGATGATTGCAAAAGGCTGGTGGAAGAAAACATAAACTCGAAATTCAATGGCCCAGGCACGAAAAAACGACGTCAGAGGGCCGCGGTTGGAGATGCCCCTGAACCCTTGCAATGGAGGGGTAAAAAAAGAAAAAGAAAAAAAGTACCGAGTACGTCAGGTACCAAGGTACAACCGAGACGACAGGAAATGCCCCACACCTCTCTCCAGCTCGAATCGTGAGACTCCCACGCCGCGCCTTGCCCCGCGTCAATGGCTTCTCTTACTACGGTGTCAGGAGTACATGTTTTTTATTTTCCTCACTTTTTTGCATGTCCCGTGAGCAAGTGGTCTAAATCAGGTTTAAGAAGTCTCATGCCGTCCGTAGTCAATGGCCTGTAGAAAACGCTGCAGGCGGGCTTCGTACCGGGGATCACTCGGTGACTGAAGGTTACTATAGCTTAGCTTGCCCATTTCCCAAAAAGCTTGTCCGTTTCGCCGGGGAAAGGAGTACCTTTACAAGCTTGATGATCTTTTATCCGTTACTTCATACAGTACTCAATTGCGACTTGACGTTTTGCTCCGACCTCGCCCAATCAAAGTCCACTCACTTCAAACAGCTCCCCATTCATATAGCTCCCTCCACACGCATCTTCCCAAGCTTTCCATCTTCTCATAGCTTCTCCTTACTCTCGTGATACCCTCCCTCCAAGACATAACCTCACACACTCTCACAACCTCCGTCTACCTGTCTCCTCCCCTCTCTTCTTATTACACACACACACACACAACTGCCCCCAAGATGGCCTCCTCCTTCTTCTCCCTCGAGGGCCAAACAGCCCTCGTAACAGGCGGCACCCGCGGCATCGGCGCCGCCGTAGCCGTAGGCCTCGCCGAGGCCGGCGCAGACATCCTCCTCGTCCAGCGCGACGAGTCCTCCCAGTCCACGAAGCAGGCCATCGAGAAGCTCGGCCGCAAGGCCACAATCTACACGGCCGACCTCAGCTCGCAGGAGAGCGTCGCCGCGCTGGTGCCCAAGGTCCTCAAGGACGGCCACGAGATTCGCATTCTCGTCAACTGCGCGGGTATTCAAAAGAGGCATCCGTGTGAAAAGTTCCCCGATGAGGACTTTAACGCCGTGAGTTTTTGCTACTACCTGCCGCCTACATACAGACGCGTACCGAGCATAGTGAGGAATGTTGGACTGACGCACTCCAAAAAAAAAAACAGGTCATGCAAGTCAACCTCACCTCCGTCTTCACAATCACCCGCGACGTAGGAGCCCACATGCTCAACCTCGCCCCGCACCCCACAACCGGCCGCAAAGGCTCCGTCATCAACTACGCCTCCCTCCTCACCTTCCAGGGCGGCTTCACCGTGCCCGCCTACGCCGCCTCAAAGGGCGCCGTCGGCCAGCTGACAAAGTCCTTCGCCAACGAGTGGACCTCCAAGGGCATCACCGTCAACGCCATCGCGCCGGGGTACATTGAGACGGAGATGAACACGGCGCTGTTGAACGATAAGGAGCGCCTCGCGAGCATCAGCGCCAGAATCCCCGCGGGACGGTGGGGTACGCCCGAGGATTTCAAGGGCACGTCGGTGTACCTCGCGAGTCGGGCGAGTGGGTATGTGAGTGGGCATGTTTTGGTTGTTGATGGTGGCTGGATGGGTCGGTAAAGAGAGGGTGTTGGGAAACGAAACGATCTGGGCGAGAAGTGCTTCACCGGCAGAAATTTAGACGAAAATAATGACAAAAGACGACCATTCAAAATTACGGTGCAGGGAGTCATGAAACAAGTACTCCAAATCTCGTGAGCCATACTACATTACTACAGCTAACATGGACACTTGATTACAACAACCAGGCCTAGATCTTGCTAGACATGACGCTCTCCATCCAGGGGTACACCGACCCGTTGGCCATGGGGTATCCCATATGCAATGCCCCCGAGAAGAACCTGGCCTCCTTGGGCGTGCCGTACTCGAACAGCATCATGGAGTCTTCTATAGGCATCAATCCGTCCAGAGTACCCTACATCGGCGTGTCAGTCATTTCTCCCAGGCGAGAAAAACAATTCTTGGACTTACGTTGATGAGTAGCAGCCGCGTCGAGGGCTTCTCAATAATACCAGTCTCCAACAGAGAAAACTTCTTTTGCACGCCCGCCTTGTATTCCTCCACGGACTTGTAACCATGCTTCATGGCCATGGCGGGCGTTAAACTGCGAGTTGCATTAGCGACGTAACCTTCAAGCAACCCTGGACAGACTTCACTCACAGGAACGGATACTCGTGGCCGTCAGCCTTCTCCAGCCACTCGGGGTCAAAGAAGTAATGGCACCCGGCACCCTGCGCAATCGACCCGATCAAGCGCTCGCGGTGGGTATGCGCGATGCGAATGGCGTAGTACCCTCCCGAGCTGAGACCCCAAACCATGACCCGGCTCGTGTCGAACCGGCCGTCCGCCGCAATCCAGTCGAGCACGCTGCTCCACAGCCGGTCGGGGCTCTCGGGATCGGCGGAATCGGCAGGGCAATCGGCCGTGCCGGGGATCTCGACAATGACGCTTCCCCATCCGCGGGCGAGGAACTCGTCGGAGCGGACGGTGTTGTCGGGCCGGTAACCGTCAAGACCCGTCATCAGGATCACGACGGGGCTGGGCTTGCTTTGCGACGCGCCCGGGGGCACTCTCACGTATGCCGGGATGGATTTCCAGTCCCCGCCCTTGGCGTGGGCATGCGGGATGTCGATCTCGTCAATGGGACAATCCCAGGATTGCGCCGCCTTCATGTATGCGCGCTTTTGAGCTTCCCACGCCTTCCACTTGACCTGGCAACTAATCTCGGGGTAGGCCGTGATGTAGGGGAACCGGGCGATGCGGTAGACCGTGCAGGCTCTGAGGTATAGGTCGCTTGCTTCCTTCTTGTTACCGGCCATGATCGCCTCGTCGCCCTTGGTGGTCAGCGCCTCGGCGATGGGGAAGAAAGCCTCCGTGTAAGCAGTGGAGTTTCCGTCATTGATGTTGTTCTTGCATATTGTCAGTCGCTTTCCTCTATACTGCCTCTCTTCAAAAGCAGCTAACCTTGATTAAGTGTTCGAAAATGGGCTCAAAGTCCTCATACTGTCCATCGTGGAAGGGATACACACTCTTGGTGCACTGTATTGAGCCAGTCAGCATGCAACCGCGTCAAAGATTTATGTCTTCTCGCGTACCGGAAACTTCCACTTGGTCTCCCAGAGGGCCTTGATACCCTGGTGATGAGGCATGGTCCTCTCAAAGGCTTCAGTGCCCATCACCCACTGCCGCTTGCCATCCTCCTGCTCCGGAAGCTTGTGCGGCGACATGATGCAAAGTTTTTAGGAAACGACCCGAACGGATCTCTGCTTCGTGAACAATGGCAGTCGGCCCTTGGCAACGTGTACTGGCTTTACTTTGCTGCTGCTTCGGCGGCGAACAACTTCTCGGCTGGACGTTTTGCTCAAGACTCTGCTTGCTGGATCAGTATATTTTCATCATTCGGCATGCCAATTCATGGCAACAGAAACAAGATTTGCATTGATACAATCTTGAAGCGCAATGTGGCTTTTAAGGAGAGAAGCATTGCAGTGGTGACTTACTCTGACTGAAGTGAAGCGATTCGCACGCGAACAATGGCAGAATGCAGGTCCTCGATCATGGTGGGAGACAGAGTGCAACGGTGCAGAAGCTAATTTATATATGATATGAAAAGTACCCTGGATCTGCAGACGCCAAATGGATCCAATGACGACGCGCGCTCGGAGTTCTAAGGGTTGGACTTGCAGACTTATGATATAGTTCCGTGGTGCTTTTGCTTCGGACTTTGGTAGTGGTAGTTGGGGATATCCGTTGTCCGATCGTGAGACGCTTGCGACTGCACGCCAGAGGGGGGGGAAAAAGGGGACATGGTGGCCGGCCGTCTTATACGACGGCGCCATGGTCAGCTCCCGTCAGCCATTTGCGACCAAAGAAGCGCTTTGGCCACGCATGTGAAGGATCTGTGAGGCGTACGAGGCACCCAAAGTAATGGCCCTGACTCTGACGTTTTGCCCGAGCTGCCTCACATTGCGGTGCGCCTGGTTGTCTGGAGGGGGAAGCTCCGATGAAGTGCGGAAGAAGCCAGGGCGGGCCTCCGTGTGTGCGGCCTTGCCGCAACGATGACGGAGATGGCCGGAGGTTGTACGGCTTGGCCACAACCTGGATCCGGTCTCACTCACTTTACTCGATTGCCATAATCCTTTGTCACCTCCCCGCGCCACTGCAGACTAAACAAAGCATCCATCGCAGGAGCAGCGAGAGAAGGATAGGTACCTAACCTGTCACACACTGCTTAGAATGGAGAATGCGAGTGACCAGACGCCAGAGAAACCAAACCGATTTCAGTCAAAGCATGTGAAACGCGGGGGGCAGCTTGTCGACGATCCGCGATTCAATAGCGGACGATCCGACCGGCCTGCCACGGGCAAGACAGCTAGACCCTTTCCATGCCGTAAGCTTCTGGCGTCGCAGACAGGCTCCCCCATGGTGGCGCTTTGAGAAGGGCCAAAGTATGTCACGGGTGCCAGCCACTCGGATGCGCACGCAGGTGAGCAGTGATCTGAAGGTGGTCATTGTGGACGCAGTGGTGCAGTACGACCCTCGCTGCGGCCGGACAAGAACTCGTTGGCCTGGCGACAGAACAATGAGGAGATGGACACAAGCCACCAGCAGCAACTGCGGCGTGTGCGAGCAGTGAGCTAAGAGCTGTCTAGATTCGAGTCAAGTATTGGGACTGGCTGATGTGCCCGGACACGTTAAGTTTCGAGGTCGGTCAAACAATACTAGACGGACCTGAAATGGGTCGCAGGGACATAAGGAAGAAGGATGCAGGTGCTTGATGGGTTTCTATTCTTCATTACGTCGTTCTTCTTGTCTCTTCGGAAGCGAGCTTGGCGCTCGTCTGATCTAGCATCTGGTGTCTCTAGCATCTAGAGCTTCAGTCCTAGTACTCAACATCAGCAGCTCACTGATGCAATTCGAGCCTGTAGTACAGAAACGAACGGTGCCGAACCCGGGCCCGGACAGATCAGGAGGTCTGATACGGGACGGGACGAGAGTTACGGGCGAGTCGTGAGGCGGAAAAAACAAAAGGCTACTGGGCCTTACTCTTGTCTCCCTCGTAGTAGTGGGCCATCTCGAGCCCGGCTCTCCTGAAGCCGCATTTGACGTAGAAGCCCTCGTTGGCCTCGCTACAGTCAAGGATGCTCTTGTAACAACCGACCTTGGCTGCGATGAAGTCCAGAGCCTGGATGATGCGCAAGCCGAGCTTCTTGCCCTGCTGATCCTTTGCAACGGCAATGTCTTCGATGTGGCCGACGAGGCCAAGGTTATGGATGCTATACGGAGGAAGGGCAAAGGTCAGTGGGATTCCTTTGTGGCATACCCAATTACGAGCGGCTCAAACTGACAACTTGCGCTCGACGATCAAGGCGCCGGTTCCGACAACGGTCTTGGTATTTGTGTCCTCAATGACGAGGATGTAGTATCCGTCACTCTTGGACAGCCATTGGTAGCGTTCGGCGAATTGGGCCTCGCCAATCTCACCAACGGTGGTCAAGACACGCAGGCAGTCGAGGAAACCGGTGTTGTAATCGGATTGACGAAGGGCCCGTACGATGTAGCCCTCGGGAAGAGCAGCGGCGACGGTGGGGGAGACGAGGTCGTCGGTGAAGAGTCCGGCTTCAGCCATTGCGACTGCAATTACGATACGATTGCGACTACGGTATAGGAGTTGTTCGGTCGGGATAGATCTATCGGAGCTTCTTGGCCGACGAAAGGTCGACAAAGATTGGATCGACTGGCTGGGGACGGGTCGGATTGAGCTGTCGCTAAGGTACGCTACGATGGAACGGCAGACAGAGGCGCCTTAGTCGATTGGTTGGCGAAGCTTTCGTTGGGGGAAAAGCTGCAGAGGATGCGATGCGGTGAGGTGTCAAAATGGAGAGGGAAGCGGTGAAGATGTCGGAGGGAGGGTGCGATGGAGAAAAGAGAGACAGCGTCAGTGGCAGAGAGCGAGAGAAAGTGAGGAAGCACTGCCGTAGGTTAGTAGGTCATTGATGTAGGCGCGATGTTTGCAGAGTTGCCCTTCCTTATCCGTCGGTCGGAGTGGGCAACATGCGGCAAGTAAACACCCTACTGCGCAAGGTACGAATACCTGCGTCAACCAGGACAGGGTTTCAGGGCCCAGGGTGCCAGGGCAGCGAGGTAGCAGCAGCAAGCAAGGCATCGCAGATCTGCACCCACGTCGTTTACATACTTGTAGTACCTACTCCGTACCCATCAGGGGTTTAATCATACCTACGTGGGGAGCACATCTCTCACAGTCACTACTGTGTGCTCCGTAAGGTAGGCGGATATTACATTGTGCTCACTCTCAGCCCCTTCCGGTCATCAACACGGCCTCCCATCCATCCTCTGCGGGATTACCTGAGGAATCACAGATAGTGCTTGGAGTTGGGAGCAGATTCAATAATTTTCGATGTAGGGTGTTAAGTTCAGGTCCCAGGAACAAGTCGAGCCGTGGACCTTGAGCTGGTGCTCCGCCTCTGCATTCCATCAAAATGTGCCATCTCATTGGTTGCGGGAAAGGAGCTGGCCCCTAATTAAGGTAAGCTGACGTGTGGTTCCCAGGCCCGTATCCGCCTGCACGGGACAATCTCGAGGCTTTTCTGCGTGTAGCTATTCATAGTATACGGGAAGCCACTTTGAGAGAGTCCAACCCGAGAATCTGAAGAGTCGGAGAACTTGAGAAGTCCTTAGACATCGGCAGGCTTCCTTGGCTCTTAAAGGCAAGTCAATCATTGACCACCTCGGGAAACTCGACGCCATCATAATCCCACTCATCCGAATGCCTGCATCACATCACATCACATCTTCCCGCCTTTGGGCCTGTCGATCGCCGAAGCAGCAAGGTACTTGGCGCATGCCCGTCCCAACCATCAGGGCCAGCCGCCGGCCGAGGTACGGGTTGGCAGCTGCAGTCTGCGGCTCTGCATATTCCATGGACAGCATGATATCGTCGCGGCAATGATTTAAGAAGCCACTGAGAAGTCGCAAACTCAATCGTGCCGCACGGATGTAGGGAATATGTACTCAGGAGTCAAGCCACACCAAGATACACATCTACAATAGAGTAAGGTAGGTAGCCATAACTGTAAGTGCGGGCAAAGGTGAAAAGGGGGAAAGGACCGTTCCTCCTGACGATAATTGGAAGGATGCGCCTCAACCGCCTGAACCGCCTCCCACTACGACGGAGGCATCACTGACCCTTCTTGCCTCTTACATGCCTAAAGGTATACAAATCAAAGTACATGTACCCGTCACCTCAGCATTCCTCCCGTCTGGAATGTCGTGGTCTTAGCTGGTCTTCCCAAAGATAGGTGCATGTGCAAACACGGCAATGTCCCTCCAAGTCCCTCAGGTACCTTACCACCTTACCTGACAGTGCCTAGGCATATACTCCGGTTACCGAGTACTTTGGACCACTCAAGTCAGGTCAGAGTTGGATGACGGGCAACCTCGCAGCTACAAGCTTATCGGTTGGCAGCCAAGCGAGAATGAGACGCTACAAGTGAGACGTGCACCTGCTGATAACGAACCTCACATTGTGGTGGCAGCCATCAGCTGCTCGTGCTACCTCACCTTGGACTGATACAAAAGTAAAGAAGTCTTTTGAGTATTCAACATAGCACCAGCTACTTACCTCACTACACGGCGGACTGCTTTTGCCTTGGATTGTGATCCCTTCTGGGCATGTCGTAGAGTTGTGGAGGAGGATAGATGCCGTACTTTATGGTAAGGAGCACCTTCGGGTTTACCTGCTTGCTGAGAAACACTTTGACGCGTACTTTTACAGTAACTTACCTCTCTCTCTCGCGCCGTTTGACTTCTTCCAAATGTGAATACGCAGCTGGTGTTCACCCAACCATCACAAGCCTCATGTACACATCCAGACAGCCTGAAGCACCCATCACCATACTAAGCCGGTAGGCATGACCGATGTAAATCACCACCCACGCTACCATCTCAGCTATGCGATGTGTATCTAGCCTCCAACACTAGTCTCGACCTTCATCGGCTCGGGCAAATCCCCCATTTTCATCCCCATCATCTCATCTCATCCCGTCTCATCCCATCCCACCCCAGACGCTACCAAGTAGCGCCATACCAGTCAGCCAGACAAGATGGCATGTTAGGTATTCCTCCATGCAGACAAGCACTTTGCCTCCTCAACCCAAGTAGGTGGTGTAGTATTACCTCGAGACTTGAGAGAGAGGCACTCACAGTCACAGACTACATACAGCACCCCGGGATGGAGAAACGCACCCACCCACAGAAACCGGGGCCTCGCCATGCCATCCCGTCCCATCCTACCTCAAGCCGTCGCCATCGCCGTCGCGCGCATGAACATCCCCCACAAATTAATACCAGAATCACATGCTGCCCATGCTGCCAATGGCTGCCACACCTACGGATACAACCCGCAGCCTACCGAGTACCTTATGTACGGAGTACTCATGCAGATGCTCAACGTCCCACTTACTCCTATTGGAGCCCTGGCACAGCGGCTCAACACGTCAACCCAGTCATCTTTTGCCTGAGCTCACATTGGGCTAGAACACCCCAACTGATTTCATTCCACCGCGCGCCCACGACACCCTAAAAACCACCTTACGCGGTGCCACTCGCCCACTTACTGTACACTACTCCATACCTAACCGTACCAAACAAAAGTGCTCCCAGAAACGCGGGTTCGCACCTCTCTCTACATACACAGTACTATTCCCTTCTCACGGCCTCGTTCCAGGCTGTCGTCATCAGCACAACACAAGAAAACACGACATCGCCACGCCCGTTACACTCGGGACGGCACCTTCGGTATAGATGTCGACAGGCCAGGCCGAGGTAGTACGTTGATGCTTGTGTTCTGTCAAGTCTACTCTGTTCCGGTCGTTCCACAACCTACGCAGTATACGCCTCTCTATACTTCTGAACGCTGCTGCTCTGATCCTCCTACCGCTGAAGGTGCTTGAATATTGCCACCGCTGGTAGCACGCCTATGTCCCCCCTTTCTTCACCACCTCGTCTCGCCCTACTCCCTTACCCTTAGTCTTGTTAGTTGTGCTTCTTCCCTCTTTTGATTCTTTCCACAAGCTTGTACCTTCTCTGCGTCTCTGAACGCTTCATTCCCTGCTTTCCTTTCCCTTCTCTACCCCCTAAGTGTACGTTCGACATCCCCTGTTGGAACCGAGCTCGGCCAAGGTCTCGAGTATAACATGGTTTCTGCACATCCTGCATCACTTCGAGTTTAACGTCCGGAACCTTATCTCAACTCCACGTTGTCTGTCACTTAATGAACCGTGTCTGCTGCGCATGCGAGCGCCCACTTTCCGACCCTCACTGGCATCAGCCCCGACACGCCCATCAGAGATCATGGATCCGGACGACGACTGGGACGGGGACGAACACTCTCACGACCTCGTCCATGTCCCTCTCGACTCTCACCAAGGACGAACTGTGCTACCGAGTCCTATAGCAAAGGCCGTCAGTCTTGCCACTCGCTCAACATGTTTAGCAATCCAATCCCTTCATCAGCTCCACGGCTTCGATGCACCAGCATCCACCACCAGTCTGGAGCTCAGCATACGAGGAATCCCGGCAGATCCAGAGAGCAGACCTGGTGGGCAGAGAAGATGCAGAAACTGTCCTGAACAGCGACCTGGGCAGAGAAGATGCAGAAACTGTCCTGGAGAGGAGCTTGGAGCACCTGCATAGTGCCATGTCGCAAATCGTTTTCTGGACTACGACCGGATTTCAGATGACGAGCACCACCATTTCCGTCGCTTCAGAGATATCTCAGCTTCTTCTTTCGTCTCTCGACCAATTCTTTGGCTCAACCGACTCTTCACGTGCCATTGCGAGCATCATTACTTTAATTCGCCGCGAGTTTCAGAATCCTGCGACTGGTGTGGAGGGTGAGCGTGTGGGTGTTGTAGATCTGGTCATGGGCTTGTGCGCGTTGGCCTACCTGCAGCGCAAATGTCGACGTTTCCTCGACGAAGAGACAAGACGACTTGGCCACGATGAGATCGTTTGGGATGTCGTTGTACTCAACGACGGGGAGCGGGTCGACATTCACGAAAACAGCCTGTACGGTGTGCACAAAGGCCGCTACAAAAGCAAAGGTCCTGATATTTTGGTTTCCATCCCTGGAGATCAACCGAGTCCTGGTATACTAGCCACTATCGAACGACATGGCGAGCGAGAAACCAGCGAAGACGAAGACGACTACGACCTGCCAGAAATTCGCCTGAAGAACCAGATCATGCGGTCTATGCCTGCAGATACAAGCGTGTCCATCTCGACAACGACCTTGACGAGGAAGATGATCACTGTGGATTTCACGGGACCCGAGCCCCCAACTTTGACACCGCCTCCAGGCGTCGAGGTCGTCGAGCGAGAAGTCCTGCCATCTTCAGAGGGCCCAAAGGAGCAGTTGGTGAGGCATCAAGACGTCCCGACCTACCGGGTCGTCTACAGAGTCGACAAGAGCAAACATCGAAACACAACAATCCAAGGCTTCGAGGAGGCAGAAGACAACTCTCGAAAAGTGGAATCACTAGACGACACCGAGGAGTCCGATGGATACGGTCGAAACGACGAAAAGGATGAACCGCCACCCGTACCACCCAAGAAGGCGCTGACGCCGGCCCCGGCCACTATTCCGAGGTCAGATGCGACATCCAACCCGACCCCTCGTCGAGTAAAGGTTGGTCCTGGTTTCCCCTCGACTTCACCCGGCAGTCGAGTCTCTCAGATCCCAACGCCCAAGCAGAGTCCCGAAAACGCGCCAAACCAAAAGCGACAGCGCGCGCCTCTAGGCCCCCTACCAGTGCGGGCACGTCAGGAGAGTGCCGTCTCCTCGCACGCCGAAGCCAACAAGCCCAAGAGAACCAAAGGCGAGTCCTTGTCAAGTAGCAAACCATCGGAGAAGCCCACAACGGAGAAAAAGGGAGGCATCAGGCAAGCCTTGAAAAGGGGTACCAGCTCAAACATCTCCAACCTCTTCCATCGAGACGGAACGAGCACCGGCACCGGCAATTCGCAGCCTACGGGGAAAGCCAAGCAGCCGGCAAAGACTGCCGCAAGAGATGGGACAACACGTACCTCTACTCAGCCCAGCCGTCCGCCCCAGACCAGGGCCATGGGCCCGACTGCTGCCTCCAGCTCGAGAGGCCGGGCCTATGAGAACCCCTCACCTGTACCTCGCAGCTCTTCGCGAGCCAGTTACATCTCTGTACACGAGCGACGTCGAGACTCGATTGTGTCACAAACGGACACTTACTCCTTCCATGCCGTCGACGGATATCGGCCCCAGTCTCCCGGATACACCCGCCGTGACGGCATGGGCCAGCCCAGCATCCCCAAGTCACGGTCAGAGAAGGACATGAACGATCAGAAGCCACCGTCGCCAATGAAGTCCAGGAGAGCGCGTTCCCACGTTAACACGCCTAGCCTCTACAGCATCGCCAATACCGGCTCCCAGACGTCTCTGGTTCTGTCATCGTACTATCAGAAGAGCGCATACACCGACTCCGAAGCCATCGACACCTTGAGGCGGGCAGGCACAGTGGATGGTGTTTTCCCGGCATTCCACCTGCTCCGAAACATCACGCGGTACATGCGTTTCTCTTCCGCTTCATACGGGTCCAACTTTCTCAAGTTCATGGGTATTTCAAAGGACATGCCCCTGATCAAAGCGTTGGACGACACACACCACGAGATCCGCTCCTTTGCCCACCACACGGAATCCGAGTCCACCAGCATCCTCCTCGCCTCCTTCGTCGACGCCCAGGGCGGATCCGACACCACTGGCTCAACTGGCACCGGCGTCCCCTTGGTCCACTACATATCCCTCGACCACGAATCCAAAGCCGTCGTCCTCGCGTGCCGCGGCACCCTCGGCTTCGAGGATGTCCTGGCCGACATGGCCTGCGACTACGACAACCTCTACTGGCGCGGCAAGTCCTACAAGGTCCACAAGGGCATCCACGCCTCCGCCCGCCGCCTCCTATACGGCGGCGACGGGCGCGTCCTCTACACCCTTAAGGAGGCCCTCGACGAGTTTAGCGACTACGGCCTCGTCCTGTGTGGCCACTCGCTCGGCGGCGGCGTCACGGCGCTGCTGGGCACCATGCTCGCCGAGCCCTCATCGTCAGGCACGGGCTTCGTCACCACCTCGGACCCGCACCGCCGGCTCCTCGGCGACGGACGCCTCCTCGACGCCGACACAACACACGTCTGCCTCCCCTCGGGCCGCCCCATCCACGTCTACGCCTATGGCCCTCCCGGGACAATGTCTCCCGCCCTCCGCAAAGCCACCCGCGGCCTCGTCACCAGCGTCGTCCACGGCTGCGACCTCGTCCCCTTCCTCTCCCTCGGCGTCCTGCACGACTTTCAGGCCGTGGCGCTCGCGTTCAAGAGCGACAACCACGAAGCAAAAGTCGAGGTCAAGCAGCGGATATGGCAGGCCTTCCAGTCCGGGCTGGCGGAGAAGTGGTACACCAACAGCGGCTCCCGCTCCTCCTCCACCCTGGCCGCCGGCGCCGACGAGGATAAATGGAGCATCTCGGCGCTGACGACGCTGCGCTCCAGCATGATGAGCCTGAAGTTGCTGCCTCCAGGCGAGGTGTTTATCGTCGAGAGCCAGCGGGTGCTGAGGCGTGACGCTTTTCTTGTTTCTGACGAGGAGTCTATCGGCCGGCCTGCGCAGCGGATCGTGCTCAAGTACGTCAGGGACGTCGAGTCGCGCTTCAGAGAGGTGCGGTTCGGGACGAGCATGTTGATTGACCACAGCCCGGCCAAGTATGAAGAGGCGTTGAATAAGCTGCGGTTCGGAGTTGTTGAAAGTTGAGAAGCAGTATGAGGGGGGATTTCTTTTCTATGGATGAGAGGAATATCACACAAAGATGAACACAACACCCCCTTTTTTTAGTTTCCTTTGTCGCGGACATATGGTCCGAATCACCCTTATATACCCCATACATCCCCGAGTGTGAGATAATTATACGATCTTTTCAAACGTTGAGTCACCATTTTAGCCTGGTCATGTAAAGAAGATATACAAAGTCTGGGATGGAAGGATCTAGGAAAGGAAGTTGAGGGAAAGAGTCTAGGTTGTGAAGAGATGATTAGGATGTAGATGAAATCAACTCAGAACATCTGTGAATAGAAGGGTGTGTCCCAAAATTTATTATTGATACAAAGTGACGCAAGATTTATTTACTTACCTTCTTCTGAACGTTTCTTCAGTTTGGTCATCCCCCTTCTCCCCCTACGGCTTTTCCGTCACAATCTTGCCGTCCTTGTCATAAAAGATTTCCTTGACCTTGACAGACCGCAGGTGATCCACGCCCTTGCTCAGTTCGCAGTCGTGGTGGAAGAGCCACCACTGGCCCTTGAACTCTACAATGGAGTGGTGCGTCGTCCACCCCAGCACGGGCTCGAGGATCCGTCCCCCGTACGTGAAAGGGCCCAAAGGGCTCTCGCTGGTGGCGTAGCAGAGGTAGTGCGTGTCGCCGGTCGAGTAGGAAAAGTAGTACAGCCCGTCCCTCTTGTGCAACCACGCGGCCTCGAAGAAGCGGCGGTCGTGGTCGTCGGCGAGGATGGGCTTCCCCGTCTCGGGCGCGAGGATCTGAATCTCTTGGACCTCGCCGTCGAACTGGTGCATGTCGCCCGTCAGTTTGGCCACGCGCGGGCCGAGCGCGTAGACGCCCTCGCCGCTGGGCTCCTGGGCACCGAGCCACTGCTTCTCGAAGACGTCGTTGCCCTTTTGGTAGCACTGCAGCTGGCCGCCCCAGAGACCGCCAAAGTAGAGGTAGCCCTGGCCGTCGTCGTCGACGAAGCTGGCCGGGTCGATGCTGTAGCTGCCCTTGATGGGTTCCGGGTCCGGGGTGAAGGGGCCCTCGGGCTTATCCGAGACGGCGACGCCGATGCGGAAGACGTCCTGCTTGTCGCGGGCGGGGAAGTAGAGGTAGTATTTGCCGTCCTTGTAGGCGGCGTCGGGGGCCCAGAGCTGCTTCGAGACCCAGGGGACGTCTTCGGTCTTCAGGACGACGCCGTGGTCGACGACGGGCTCGAGGGGGTCCAGCGATGATGTGCTGAAGACGTGGTAGTCGGCCATGTCATATTGGTCTCCATTGTCGTTGAACTTGATGTCGGTCTCGCGGTCGTGAGACGGGTAGATGTAGACTTTGCCGTTGAAGACGTGGGCTGAAGGGTCGGCCGTGTAGAGATGGTTGATGAGGGGCGCCATTGTGAAAGTATGTGGGATGGGGGAGGGGAGAAAGTGGGAGTGCGGGGGAGAGAATGCGGGGGTTGAAGGTGGTTGTTGGTGGTGGAATTGGGGTCAAATGGGGAAATCAAGCATGCCACTTTGAGTGTCTTGAGGAATGGGATAGGACGCTGTTGCCGATTGCCTACTTGCAATAAGACAAAGACGATTAAGGATATTCTGCAGAGACCGATGGGGCGCAAAAGAAAAGAAAAGCCTTGGGAGGTAATCGTTTATATGCCAAATAGCCGCCCTCGAGTATTCTCCACCGTTAAAAGGGTTCAGGCGTCTGGATGAATGTGAAAGTGGTGATGTTGGCCCGGTAGAGTGGAACACGGGACGGCTAGCCAGCGACCTTTGAATTTACCCAGCGCATTTTCCCGGTTTACCCCATCCTGGCCACACCCCCCACCCGCACCACGAGTTGGAGGACTGAACCTGGACGCTGGTGACAATTGCAATCCAATACAGGTGCATGATGCTGCGGTGGGCCAACCGTGGACTTCTTGGGAGATCCAAAACCAATGTCTTGTGTGCTATGCTGATCCTAGTGAAGTCGTATTGACGGCGTAAGGCACTTCTTTTGAGCATCCAACATGATTTCTATCAGATTTTGATTCTGATTGAGATATGTTTCGGATGGTGGTAGATGGATACCAAAAAATGCAAAAAAAAAAAAAGAATGTTCGACGCTCAATCTCGCCCCTTTCAGGACGAGACCCCGCGCTACCCGAGCTTTACCGCCAAAATCACTCGAACCTCGTCAGTAGGTAATTGGTAGTCTTTCTGACCCCATGGCTACGATACGCCGTCGCTTTCACCATTGAGCCCAAAGGTGACTCAATGAACTTGTGATTAGGAAGTATTGCGGTCCGCTCGACTATGGACCTTCCACCACGGCGCCAGCAAGGGTCCCATAGGCCGAACGGGTTGCTTAGCATCGTGGGATGGAAAGGTATGGAAGCCCAAAGTGAAGACATGAAGGTGCGTCCTCCATGAGCCCAAAGCTTGATCATCGAAGTTGTTCTCCCTCTCACGCCCGACTGTTGAGGTAAGTGTCAGCCGCACCTTAGCATTTCTGTCAAGGCACGGCAATATAGCCTAAGTCTCAGAAGCGCAGCGGCAGTGGTGCGGCTCGTAAGGGAGCTTGAATGCAGAACCGCCAATGATGACTGCGCTTTGGCTCGCCATAATGTGCTCTAGTCTTCTCATGGTCTCTTCTTTGATGCGCAGACAGCTGGCAGTGCTCGCTCGGATCAACCGGCCGCGCAGCAGCTATTCAGAAGTCCTGAATGCCGGTCTGACCCTGTGTGGTTTGAGCTACCTCGTCTGCATCGCTGGCCCACTCGGGATCTTCTTCATCGAACCAGGCTTCCTCTGCATCACGTCTCTCCATGACATCGTAGTCTTCGTTGTCGTCGACCACAGTGTAATCAAAATCCTCGTCGTGGCCGCGGACAAATCGTTCCGTGAGAAACTCATGCCATCTCTGAAGGCCTTCTTCCCTTGTCTTTGTTTTGGAAAAATCTGCTTCAGTTGTGAAATCTCTCGCGGGCTCCGACGTTGTAGTGTCATCAGTTGATGACTTCAAGTCAGCAAGACGAGCCTCGCCCCTGAGCAGAGAGCTTTCTAGCACCCCCGAGTACCCTTTGGCCTTGCCCTCGACCTCCCGCTCGGCTGGTGTCTGGAATTTGCGAACTAAGCTGTCGTATAATAGGGGGTCTGGGAAGAATATTAGCTCCTAAGTTGATAGTGAAGTGAACTCGAACCCTGTAATGTGCAGGTCACTAAGACCGCTCGAGGGAGAAAGGAAGATAGGGTATGCAAAGAGACGGACCGGCCAGCTCATGTTCAGCGTCGGAAAAGTACTTTGGATTTCTCTCGAGATACTCTCGCCGACGGTTTCGAGACCGGATATTGTTGGCTACTGTTGGCGACCTGGGTGGACGTGGCGTCGGTTTCTCAAAGGAAAGACTTTGAGACTGATGCTCGGGCTCTGTGAAGGAGGGCATCTTCAATTCAGGTCAAGCGCTTCCGGCAGCAAGCACAAACGGTAGGCGTAAAATATCACAGGTACGATATGAAGAAGCCTGGCTTTAGTTGAGAACTGTACGAATAGATTGGGGCACCAAAGTGGATTAGATGAAATTGTAGATGTTTGTGTCTGGTTACAGTTACCCTCAGTAATGAAAGATGTCACTGTTTAAAATGTGGGTCGCGACATAGGTAAGTACAGGTACCTGAGCACCTCAAGTAAGGAAGTCCCTCCTTGGTGCGAACGCAAATCCAGATGTACATCTTTTCGGATTTTATGACTGCAGGGCAACATGCACTCGCACGATTTGATAACTTGCAGAATCCCACGAAACTACTGTATCCACGACTTGCAGAACACCTTGTCGAAGATCGACGTTTTGCCTACCAGCCGATTTATCCTTGGTTTCGGACCAGGCGGGTGCGAGATCTCGAGGGAAGGGCACGGTACTAGGGAGCTCAGTTTGTGGCTGGGGAACGAGGATATCCTCAGGCTCTTATCCTTGCACAAGGAAATAATAAGGCGTTTTATGGAATTGTCCGCTTTTCAGATGTCCATAATCCATATCCTCCATAGGTGACAATACTGAGGTACCTACCTATGGAGCACTTGAGTACGGATAAGGTACCTTGGACGGGAGAGTCGGGCTGCTCAAAGCAGGCCAATTGGCTGGTTATTGGGGGGTGGGGCGGAGGCACATCGACGTGGCCCGGCGCGGAGAGCAATACGGCCAATTAATAGGGGGGAAGGCGAGAAAAACGTTGGCTGTTAACGGGAAATGAGATACAGAAGAGGGAAAAAAGCAGGATTTGAACCGGACATTGAAGCCGGTTAGGTGCCTTTTTACGGATGGTCTACGGATCCATGGACCATTCATGTGGGCTTGCACTTTGCAAGGCGTGGCAGCCGCATGGGTATCCCATCCCACGCGTCGTTTGCTCTTTTTCTCTCTACTGTGTACGAGTGAATGGTATTGGGCTGTCAAGGCATATCTGGATGTTCTGTGCTGTCTGTGATTTTGTGTCTCTGTCTCTCGAGTCTCCCTCCACAAGTTACATCCCAGCGCAACCCCGGGATATGACAGCCAGCCAGCCCACTGGCGCTTGACTGGACTTGATCTGGTGGTTCACATCCATTCGCATTGACTTAGTGGACGGCAAAGCTAGGCATCTTGCACCATTTCTACTTGTTTTCTGTTGCATCGTCTTTCTTTTTCCCGCTTAGTCTCTGCCTCTTGTCTCTGAGTACTGAGTTGGGTATCTCAAGTCTTCAACTTCATTACCTTTCCATTCCTCTCTGTCTTTTCGTTCTGAGATCTTGCCCGGTCGTCCTTTTCGGGATTCCCAAGGCCCGTCTCACTCACTCACTCATTTATCACATCTTCTTTCTTGTCTTGTCTTGTCTCTCAATTCCCCAAGTGCCCGTCATCCCCCTTTAATACTCTGTACTTATCACACTTACATTCCACTTTTGTCAACTCACCTCACCGTATCATACCGTATTTCACCGTGTCCATCTACGTTGGAAGAATCGCCCTTCCCCCCTCACCCTCTTCCTCTTCTTCGCCGCAGTCAGAGAGGCTACAGTATTAGGCACCTGATACCACTTATTCACCCACCTCTCATGCCACCCGTCCCATCCGTTCCTCCTCCTCTCGGCGTGTCTCAACCTCAGTCCACTTGATCCATCATCCAAGGAGACGACGACCCGCCAGAACAAAAGTCCATCAGCACACGGCTGCCATCACGTCCACGCCAACGGCGGCGACCACGCGACAGGACGCGCAAGACACGATACCACACCGAATTTCATTGCAGCAACGTACCGTCGTACACCGTACCGTCCCGTCCGAGGGGAAAAAAAAAGAAAAAAGCTCGCCCCCATTCGCACGCTGAATGTGACCCTCCCATCCCCATGGGTACTGCTGGGGATATCAGAGCCCGTCTCCGGGCAAAGTTCTCACGGAGGAATTCGGCTGCCCCATCTCTAGCTTCCAACAAGAGCACCGGCGATGCCCACAACTCCCAGGCAACTGATGGGACGAGTCTCACACGGCAATCCTCGGCCGCTGCATCCGCTTCGGCTCCAAGGTCCAGAGCAAGCTCCCAGCACCCGCCTCACACGCCAATCTCGCCCTTGCCCTCGCGCTCGCCGACTCCACACCAGCCACACAATCACCTGCAGACACAGCCACAGCCCACCACACTACAACCCCCCGGCAGCAGCCATGGCGACCACTTGCTGCAGCCGAAATTGAAGGCAATTACGGCTGAGGGTGCCGCTGCTGGGGCTGCAGGTGAAGACGACAGTGAGGAAGCGCAGCTCCCGCCACAGTCGTCGTCCTCAAGCAAGTCCCATCTATTGGACCACCAACAAAAACAACGCCACGAGCCTCAAATCAATCACGACAGCCATGGTGATGAAGAAAATAACTTTCATGCTACACCTCTCAGCAGCGACGAGGTTTTGGTAAAGGAAGAGAATCCCATCGTCACAGCAACTACGGGTACCGACAACGATCAAAGACCCGCAAGCAGCGCCAGCGCCAGCGCCAGCAACAAGGTCAGAGACAACTCGACCGGGACTGGGGACGATCAGGACGCTCACAAGCCACACTCCGACCTCGACCTCGACCGTGACTCGCTGGCCCCAATGCCGCCCGCCGCGTCTCAAGGACGCTTAGCTAGCGAACTGACTGCCAGCAACGATCTACGCCCAGCCGCAACAACCACAACCACAACCACAACCACTGCTCCTACTGCAGCTTCCACTACCCTCAACAACCTCCCAAGCATCCACGAGGACCAAACCCCACCCGGATTTGACGACCCAAAACAGAGACTTCATCTATCGCAGTCGCATCACCCGCATCAGCCACTACCGCCAAAATTTGCGGCGGCTCCCACCGTAACCCTTCAGGCGGTCTCTGCCGAGGACCTCAACGACGATCAACACGATCCCCTCAGCCATGCCCTCGGCACCCCGACGCCTCTCGCAACCGCCATCCTCCCGAGTTCGCCCTTGTCCTCCCGTCCAGAGGCGCCTCCCCGACGACAAAGTCTTATACCCAACCGTCAAACCACTCTGATTCGAAACCTGCTCGAAGGACGTGTCGAAAACGAAGCTAGGCCAGCCAGCGCCGATTCTTTGCTCCCCAACATCGCAAACATGGTCACCCGCAAGGTCTGGGTTAGGCGCCCCGGTGCTTCTGCCACACTCATCACTGTCAACGAGGACGACCTGGTCGACGACGTGCGCGACATGATTCTACGAAAGTACGCCAACTCGTTGGGCAGGCATTTTGATTCCCCCGATCTCACACTACGGATATGCCCGCGGGAGCAGAGACAAGATCGTATGCTTGGCCCCGAGGAGCCCGTAGGCCGTACACTTGATGCATACTTCCCTGGTGGTCAGAATGTCGAAGAGGCTCTGGTGATTGATATCCCAGCCCGGCGCACACCGAGACCATCACCGCGCGCCCCGACGCATGCTACAACAATCTACTACAATGACGAAGGCCGGCCCTCCGAAGCTGGCGAGGGATATTTCCCTCCGGTTGCAAACGCGGCTGCTCTGCCGTCACCAAATCTACCAGTGCCGGTTGTCGCTCCTGTTACTGTCCCTGCAACACATCCCGCGCATCCCGCCCATCCAGTTCACCCGGCGCATGCCCTTACTGCGCATACTCAACACTCGATCGCAATTCTCGGAACAGGCCAAGTACCGCCAATACCCTCGCCGGGAGGCACGAGGTCTCGTGCTTACAGGGAACGCCCGGAACGCCCTCGTCTTGGGAGAACCCATACCTCCTCACCTACGATACTGAACCAAGTCAATGCACAATCCATGGCGGCCGCAGCAGCTGCTGCCGCACATCCCACCCACTCGTTCCACCCACGTCTACCGCCCTCTCGGACGCAGTCGAACACTTCGGAGCAATCCAACGCCCAACCGGCTGCTCCACCGCTTCCGACACCGCCCGCTCCGGAAGTGCAGCCTGCGAGAGTTGCAACTCCCCCGCCCAGGATTGCTTCTCCTAGGCCAGCAAGTTCTCGGCCTAAAAAGAAGAAAACGGTAGATCATCCAACTTTGCCCGCTGGCATATTGAACGGCGGTGTGCCGCCTATCAACGTGTTGATCGTAGAGGACAACCCGATCAACCTCAAGCTGCTTGAGGCTTTCGTCAAGCGTCTGAAGGTTAGGTGGAAAACGGCGGTCAATGGCCGAGATGCCGTCACCATGTGGAGGACCGGAGGTTTCCATCTTGTTCTGATGGACATTCAACTGCCCATCATGAGCGGATTGGAAGCCACTCGGGAGATCCGCAGATTGGAGAGAGTCAACTCGATTGGTGTCTTCTCTTCGTCGGCAGGTAGCGCACCTGAAGCCCCGAATGGCGAGCCCGAGGAGAAGGACAAGTTGACCAATATGGAACTCTTCAAAAGTCCGGTGATTATCGTGGCCCTTACTGCCAGCTCCCTCCAGAGTGACAGACACGAGGCCTTGGCGGCTGGCTGCAACGATTTCCTTACAAAGGTTAGTACTCACCTACACTCCAATACCTACGAGTCCATCATACTAACGTGACAATCATAGCCCGTGAACTTCGTGTGGCTGGAGAGGAAGGTCATGGAATGGGGTTGCATGCAAGCACTCATTGACTTTGATGGCTGGAGGAGATGGAAGGACTTTTCTCAGCAGAATGACGAGGCTGAAGCCAAGAAATCGGCCGCGTTGAAGACGAAGGCAAAGAAGAATCGCTTGTCGATGACTTCGGTGCCAGCATAGAAATGCAATAACGCTCAGAAGCGTTAGCAGGGAACAGTGGGTATGCGATAACGGCTTTCGCCACACTTTTTGGAGAAGGCCACGGTATTGATGATACTGCGAGCCTTTAATGAGTCTTCTTTTCCAATGGTCTCTCATGAGACTTGGCTTAATGAACACGACAGCAACATACGGGCTCCGCTCTGAGGTATAATTATAGCAGGCTTGGTGCTCATCTCTGTTGCAAGGAACCTGCATCTTGTTCATGGCTACTTGTCGTTTGGTTGCATGGACTCAACGGTTCGGTTTAAGAGATGCCCCGCATGGAATATACGAAGAGGGACGCGCAGAATGATACCATAGAGCGCGTATGTATGAGAGAATAATCATAATGGATCCACGCATACAATAGAGGATTTTGCTGAAATGACACGCATTGATCGTGACTCCATGTTTGGCCTGGTAGGTATACTGTATTGAGGTGAAGGGTATGGCTCAATTGTCATCTCTAGAGACGTTTGCATGGTAAAGAAAACGACGAGAGGCGCCTGATCAGACCTGAGCTCACCCTATTTGATTTCTATCGATTGTACTCAACGGCAGGGACAAGACGGGATTACCTGATAGCCGGAGGACGGACGTTGAAGACCGGTAGGTGGGTCTGGGGCCGGAGCTCGGGAGACGGTTTTCGGTCCTGTCCTGAGGCACAAGGCCAATTGAGCAAGGCAAATTATCCGCGATATGGTCCGTGCGTGTCCTCCTAAGAAAACGAGAGAAAAATTGGTCGGAGCTTTAAAAAGTCTCCCTTCTTCACAAAACAACCACACCCACGTTTTACTCAAGCTCCCAAATGGTTGCTTCGCCGTGAAATCGGTGCAAATCCACGGCGCACCTTCTGCGTCGAGATAATACCCTTTTTTCTTTTTTCTTTTCTTTGCTTTACACACAATGTCGGCACGAGCGGGCTCGTCATTGTCGCCATTGGTCCTCGCGACCAAGTGGTGCGATGCGTCCGCCGCCGCGTATGCGGGCTCGCGATGCGCCTTTTCGACGACGCCGGTCCAGTCGAGAAGGAGCAAGGCGCAGCACAGGATGTTCGAGTTCTTCAAGCATGGCAGAGGTGCCAGGGTGAGAGACTCTGAGAATGGTGTCAATTACTTGAGTGGCTCCAAGGAGCAGCCGTTCCCGATGAACCCGTTCTTCCGGAGCGAACCTGTGCTGAGCGAGATGCTGAGGGACGAGGTCTACCGGAGGGTCACGGTGGCCAAGGAGTCGCTGAAGCTCGTCTCGGCGGAGCTGGGTATCGATGTTCGCCGCGTCGCTGCCGTAGTGCGGATGAAGGAGATCGAGAAGCAGTGGGTAAAAGAGGTAAGCACACAACCATTCCTTTTATCCATCAAATCCCCCCCCTTCGGTGGATTCATCCTCCACCTATCCCAGCATCATGATGATCAACTTTCCAAAATTCGATTAGTCTTGAAGACGCAACATATGGTTACACCTTGGCACTGCGAGCCTCTCTGATTTGCTACTATTTATTTTCTCAACTCATGTTCCGCACATCATTTCAGACGTATGCAGACTTTGCTGACATGAGGACGGAACCTTCTTCGCAGCGCAAACCACTAGCTCGACCTTATGCTCAGGCCATCATGAGCATGCTTCCCCAGACTTACCTGGCGGACGCAGTACGAGACCAAAGGCCCCACGAGCCTGTGAATGAGATCCACGTCCACAAGCTCACGATGCAACAACTCTTCGTGCCTGTGTCTGAGTCGCGGCAATTCAATAGAGAAGACGCCGCAAAGGCCTTCCATAGAAACATGCTTTCGATTGACGATCGCTCACCGCACAAGGAGCTCATTGACATGAGGAGGGCGGCTGCCAACGGCGGCGACAGAGCTGAGCTGACGCGCAAGTTCCGCGCCGAGACGAGGGCGCAGGAGGACAGGCTGGTCGAGAGAGAGCGCAAGCGTCTCGAAAAGGTCGAGGAGGAGACGACGCGTGTTGATACCGGTCGTTTCGAGTTCAGATTCAAGGAGATGAATGTCGAGACCGTCGGAAAGAACGGCCGCAGCAGAGGAGGCGTTGGCTGGAGATACGGTGTCCCCTTCTATGACCGCAGGAAGGGCGAGACGAAGATTCCCACATCGGTGCCTTGAACGTGTCCAACCCAGACCTTACTGCCTATTGCCGACTACATCACACACACGGCGGCGGCACGCTGGAGGAGGAGGAGAAGCGGCTCAAAACAGCCACTATAACCAATGAGAAGACGAACTGAAGTCATGTTGGCTCAGTTCTCGTGTGGACGCTTTACGATAAAGCGTCTGTGTCTATCAACTGTAATTATATACATGTAACCCTATATGACGACGGACTCAAGCGGAGGGGCGCGCTTCAAAGGATGAAGCTTCAATCCAGCCCAGCAAGAAATGCATTTTATTCCTTCCGATAAGCCCCTTTTTCCTTCTCAAAGCAAATACTTTGTGTGTGAGACCCAGTCGACCACTTTACGTCCGTCGTCGGCATCTACTACTAGGTTTGACCTAATACGGTTGATGTCATCTGGCGAGAGACGACATCTGTTCTGGACATACGCCTCGACTGAACCGTACTCCTTGCGGAGTGCAGCCAGCGTCGCAAGCATGTTTTCTTTCCTGAGTAGGGTTTAGCAATAGGTATAGCGGGTGATTGAGTGATGGTGCGCAAGCACATACCGAGATCCAATCATGCGCCTAGCCCCCTCGGGGTTCCCCTTCATGGCCTCGGTAGCGAGAAGGTGCTGGATAATCTCCTCCCTCCGGTCCTGGAGACCAATGTCGGTGAGGCTGTACTCGTGGGCGACGACCTCGTCCGAGACGCCACAGAGGCTGAGAATGAGAGCACAGATGATTCCCGTCCTGTCCTTGCCGGCGGTGCAGTGGATGAGCAGCGGAGTCGGGGGTTCGGCAGAGGCGAGGTGAGAGAGGATGGTGTGGAAGGGGTCATTGGGGTGGTCTGCCTCCGAAGCGGCGCGGAGGATGTCGGTGTAGGCCTTTGTGAAGCCCTATGGTAACTTTTGTTTTAGAATTTCACACATAATCCCACAGAGTGGCGAGCCATATCCACCGGCACAAGTAGGACATGGTGAGAGGGGGGGAGGGGCTGGCAGAAGAAGGAACTCACCTCGGGCCCGTTGCTAGAGTAGTTCCGGTACCGTAAGGCAATAGCTTCGGGGCCGTAGTCCATGTCCCGAAAGACAGGGACAAAGATGCGGGTGGCGCCGGGCCACTCGCGGACGTCGCAGCTCGTGCCGGCCTTTGCGAGGCGCTCGAGCTCAATGGCGGAGCGGAGGTCGTAGACGTGGGTGATGTTGAGATCCTGGAGGCGAGCGACGCCGTCGTCGGTGAGGCGGGAGGGCTCGGCGGAGCGGAAGAGGATGCCGGGCTTGACGATGCGGCCGGCCGGGAGGGCATCGACGGGGTAGCCGCCGGCGTCGCGGAAGTTGGGGAGGCCTGGGATCTGGTGGAAGGGGGGCGTGGGGAGGTCGACTTTGGGGCGTGGTTCCGTCATTGTGTTGTTTCTGCTTGTCTCGTGTTACTATACGAGTTGGGGGGGAAGTCAATGAGCGAGAGGTCAACGTGTACGCTGTGGAACGGATGAGATGAGTAACAACGTTGTAGATTGGAACTGGTTTATGGGTGTGTGCACGGAGTATTCGCAGTCTGTAGATGGGTGCACCGCGGCAATGGGCATCGTCGGATGTGGCCTCTGCGGGGGTAGAATTGCGGCATCCGAGGCATGTCGTTGGGTAAGGTAGGCTCGGACCTGCCCACCTTTGGGCCAACATGCGCGCGCCTTTGGGCGTAAGTGGAAAGCAGCATCAAGTCAAGGTCAACTAATCCAGGTTGCTCCCTCTCACCGAGAACTGACTAACAATTCCGTCCCTATCCTGCATGTGGAAGTGGATATGTGGTGAGGAGAAGCAAGAGCAACATGTATAACAGGCCAGGAAATAGCTTCCAACACTGAGTCTATCTCTCTCGTACCTGCCGAGGTGAAGGATGGCCCGCCTGGGTGTACCGAGTGTCCGTGTATTGATCTAGGTACCTTACCTTGGTAGGAACCCAGCAATTCGGTTCAAACAATCTTGCGGGCAGTCTTCATCAGCAGCTCAGAAACATGGCCAGTCAGCAACATGAGAAACATGAAAGATCGATCACAAATGTCATCATTGGGCAGGTGCCGTCCGAGGTTTGTTTCCAACACTGCCAGATTCGGGGCGTCCATGAGCAACGACAGCGGGAAGGAGTACCGGTACCTACTTAGGTCGGAAGTGCTCCAAACATCAGAATCTAGGTCCATTCTGGGTCATGTCACATCGTCCGAGGGGCCAGTCAACCAGTGTCATGGAAGCGTCGTGCTACTACTGCCAGGTGACTGACTGGCACAGCTGAAGTGAGACTGGTAATTTGCTCAGATGCTGCCGATGATGCCTACCTTATCTTACTGCATAGTCAGTTTATTGTGTTACTGAGTTCGAGTTCCTCCTTCTTGGTAAACAGCAAAGACATTTCATCTCGTACCTGACAGGTCTGACGTCCTCGATGCGCCTTCCCCTGACGCAGTCAACACCTCAGCAAACATGCATATTGTCGAAGCTGTGGCAGCTCTGACTAGCACCTGCCCGTTGATAAGGTACATTGGTGTAGCTCCCTGAGCCAGCGGCCAGTGAGCCCTCACGGCGCTCAGCTCAACCACGAGGAGCCGACCGGGAACCTGTCAGGGCTAAGAGGACGGAAACATCCAATGACAGCAATGGCAACACCCCCCTGGGCCCCTGCACCAAACCTACGCGAACCTCCCCCCTAGAGGAGTAGTCGCGTTCCTGACTGGCTCGTCGTCCGCGCTAAAGGCCTCGTGCTGCGTCATAGGGGACCAACTCATATCTTCCCAGATTTTCTTGACCTCTTTTTTGCCTACCAAGGACGCGCTGGGAGTTGGGGGACTGGGAGGGAATCCGACCGGTTTGAGACAAGCAAGATGGCGATCAACCTGTTTGTGTCTTTCCCACACCCTGGCGCCCTCCTCGTGGTGTGATTAAACCAACTGGCGCTGCTACCCTTCTATCTGACCCTGCCCACCTTAAATCACCTTGCTCGACCTTACGCAGTAGGTTGGTGTCATCATTACCTGCCAAGGTTGCCTTCACCACCACCGCCTGTTCCCGTAGAAGAGAGAAAAAAACTTCGTTTGCAGCCTTAATTTGAATAAGACCCCCCTCTCCCTTCCAACTTACCCCGGTGAAGCCAACCATTGCTCCTGCCAACCTCAACTCATCGTTCCGCTAAATCAACACTTCCAAAACCCGCAAGACCTCTTACTGAACACACACGATTCCTCCAATCTAGCGGTCACCCACCGATAAACCGTAGTTCGAGATGGGCCTCTTCGGCATGGCAGCGAGCTACCTCGCCTTCTCCGTCCTCCACTTCTTCCAGTTCGTCCTGGCCGTCACCGTATGCGGCCTCTACGCCGTCGACCTCAACCGCGCTAGAAGTGAAGGGAGCTACACCGACGGGAAATGGGTGAGAAAATCTTCTATACTCCCTGTTTTTTTGGAGTATAGATGAAGAAATGAGGACTGACAACACCCCAAAATCAGGTCTTTGCTGTCGTGGTCGGCGCCCTCTCCGCCGTAACTGCTCTGCTCTACTTCATCCCCTTCATCCTGCGCTTCGCCATCGTCTGGATCTGGGATGCCATCCTCTTCATCCTCTGGATCGCCCTGTTCGGTCTCTTTGGCAATGTACGTACACCGGAATCAATTCCCTACCTAACCAAACCTACCTACTACCCTATCTCGTCATAACTACTCATGCTGACTTTTGACCTACCAGATGTACATCAAGGAGAACGCAGAGGGCGACAGCGGCATTCAGCGCATGAAGAACGCCGTTTGGGTCGACTTGGCCAACGCCCTTCTCTGGCTCATCAGCGCGCTGGCGACTGCCGCCTACTGGTGGAGACATCGCGAGCGCCGCACCCGCTTCACTGGCCGCGGAAAGGTCTAAACAAACGATATTCAAAGCGAATCATGGCCTAATTAACAGGGGGCGACAGAGCTCGTCTACTGAGTAGATGAAAGTGGGCAGTGTGCGAGTGGACACTCGAGGTGAACGCTCAGGATCCGGTGATGATGTTGTTATGAGGCCGGTGTTTTGGAGTATTTAATTCTGCCGCAAACACGATACCAGAACCCTGGCGAGGTTTATCTTGTATTCTTGCTTTCTTCCCACAATTCCAACAAACTCTACGAAAGATCCTAGAGTCAATCGCCGTCTTTGGACACCATCATATCCGAATCGGCTGTGAGGTTAATTCAGAAAAAAAAATCCGTGGTTGCCGACTTACTTCTCCATCATAGGCATATGAGACTGTCACCATATCCCTTGCAAACATGTTCCAGACTTATCCACGTGAGATGCCAGGGAGATTGTATTGGTGACTAGACCTGCGTTAAAAGAATCAAGTCACGCATAGATTACTGAAAAATAAACAATGCTCAACCTTACGCCCATCCGTCTTCCTTAACCGGGGCCGGCCGGTACTGACACGGGGACCGTGTGCACCTCCCCCTTGAAGACCCTGACGACTGAATCGTACACGCCGCGCCGTCGTCGGCGCCGGCGTAGCTGTCCCTGCCGGAGGTGAGCGGCCCCGCGTTTCTGCCTTCGTTAGAGTTCCGAGCCTCCCTACAAGATCGTCTGTCTCTAAGGGGAACTCTACAAGAACGCTGCGCCTCAAGTCCCTTTCATCCATCCCATCGTGGACGGCCCCAGAAACCCTCAGGGAACCCATGAGCCGAGTGCTGTACCGTGCGGTGGGTGCATGAAAACGCTCTCTCCATCTAGCAATGCACAGCCCGGAGATGTTCCTCCTGAACCTAGCGCACCAGAACCGTTCTACCGCTCCTTGGACCAGATGGATGCAGTTGACTGCGTGACTGCCAGGCACGCCAGGCCCGGCGCCTCAAAAGTCCTACATAGGAAAAGCAAGGGGTCCAGGGGTCATATTTTCCAACCCTGCAGGCACTAAGCAACGTCGTGTCTCCGCTGCGCTGTGACGTAGTGTCTGTGGCGACCCTGACAGTCCGCTCGTCGCTGGCTATCTCTACAAGATATCGGCGAGGGTAGCGCGCTTCAGAAAAATCCGGCCAAACACTCTTGAACAGGCCCAATGCATCTGAGCGGCCCTCGCGTCACAACACTTTAGAGACTGGAGATTTGGGCCGCAAATACCAGAGGAATAAGTCCGTGTCGAGATCTAAGAGAGCATTTGGTGGCGGGCATCATTGAGGCTTGACCTTCATCCCACCGTCGGAGAGCCGCAAACGGGATGTAAGCGACGGAAGACCCGGGGGGGTCGGTGCGCTTTGACGTCCCCTGTTGTAAATTCCGAGCGAACGACGATAGTGAAGGCGGCAGTCGGCAAAGTGAGACTTTAGTATCAAGCAAAGCCGGGAAACCCAGGGTATAGGAATGGGCCGACAGAACTCGCCGTTTCGTGGTGGCTGGTATCCGCTGTATCCTTTCACGCTTCTAACCTTGGGCAAAAATTCGACCCATTAAAAGCATGTGTGGCCTTGCGGCTGTCCAAACTTGAGAAGGCGGAAGCGATCGGCGGCAAGATCAGCACAGTTTTTGCTGCTTCCGATTCAAAGCCTGAAAGGTCAAGCCCAGGACATGCATTGGGTAATTGGATCATGGCCCAGGGATGAATCAAGTGGGCATCCCAAGACCCTCTCAACCTCTGCCTCTGGTCCTCCTCTAGCGTTATGTACACTAAGACAACAGCCTCCGCTCCCTGTCTCTCCCAACGTGGACCCCGCCAGTGGTAGCAGCGGGACGGAGTGAAAGTCATAAACGCCCGACGATGCGGAGGTTTCATCGGCTAGGACCGAAAGCCCGAAGGCGGACGGGGTTGTATGGATACTTGGACCGTAGCAGAGACGGTGCCGTCCATATGCTGCGGCAAGTGGAGGAGAAAGCATGAGGGGTAGAAGAGACAACTGCTGAACGGCACGTCTGGACGACGGTCGGTTTCTGTCGAGCAGGCTCCGGGTAGCCAGTACGGAAGTGTTGAACCGAATGTCTTTTGTCTCTCCGTCCAGCGTGGGTGGGCGCCAGAGGTTCTTCAAGTGGCACAGTCGGATCCTTTGCAATGGAGCTGCTGGGCTGGAGAAGGCCTTTGATTGCTTTTCAGATACCGCAAGTAGCTAAGGAGAGGTGGCAGATGGTGACCATCTGAATCAGCAGCCACTATTACACCCAGCTCAACAGGAGAATAGTCTTGCCTTCATGGCATACATGCGTGGGATTGCCACTCGCCCGCTGGCGCAGCCACAGGCTCTAAGCCATGGGTATCGGGATTGATAAGAGCAACCTTCTTTCGTGTGTATACGAGGGCTCATCCGACTGGACGTCCCAGTGGCCTCGATGTGGTTCTCGTCAGGCTTGGAAACCCGGTGATGATCGACATGAAAGATCGACGGCAGCAGTTCCGTGCCAGCTGCATGATTTGGCTCCTGATGTAAGTCAAGATAGTGTAGGTTAAGCGGTGAAACTGGCCGACCTCGATTTTGCGGCTGAGCTCTTTGTGCAGCAGGAACCTCAGATCGCAGTGTATTCGGGATAAAATGAGCTATCATGTGAATGTTGTCATGGGAAGGCTCTCCAGCATTTGCCTCGTAGTCATCAAGTTGATGACAATACCTCTGCCTTACTGCCTGGGCGACTCAAAGATAAAGTAGGTATGTACTCTACGACGTACGTCGGTGCAGATGAGAGGTAACTTTATCAAGGCACCTTGCGGAAAGACAGTGCCTGCCCGGTCTTGGAAAGGAGGACCGAAGAGCACGTTTGTCGAGATACCTATCTACCAAGTGGACATTCAAATTGATAATGTAAGGTACGCAGATGCAATACCTAGGTGCTAGCCAAACAACAAGATGGTTTTGTAATACAAATTGAACAATGTTGGTAACGATACTGAGCCGGCTGGATACTAAAATTCCGAAGATGTTACTTATTCCATAATGCTCCAGACGTCTGAGTACGGTCGCTTCCACCTTGCACAGCTTTATCAAGATACGTATTTCGTTTGCGGCACTCGGGTCGGACGGTTTTGGACCCCTCCAATACGGTCACCTCAACGGCCAAAGCAAGATAAGGTGCCTGGAGCAATGGAACGGCCAACCTAAGAGTCAACGGCCCTCATTATTAACCCAATGGAAGCTAGCAGCAGAAGACCCTCGAAACCGTTTCCCCCCCTTGCCTCCCTCATTCCGTTTGGCCGGCCTCCGCATCTCGCACCATCCCACCAAAACCCACACACCATTACGAATGGATACCTTATGAGATGTGAGATACTCCGTAAACCCAGCAAGACCCAGACACCAACACCCTTCCACGCGCCTTCTTCGTTGATCCTTCGATGCCATCCATTGCTCTTGACCCTTTGCAGAAAGATCATCTCTTTTGTGCTCGAACATAGAGGACCCTGCAGTCTGCCCAACACGAGTACCGGCCTATTTCTGAATGCAAGCCGAGCCCTGATGAATAAACGCCTCCAAGGAGCAAAGCATTACCTCTACCTTTCACTCCAAAAATAGCGGTTGCCTTTAAATCCGTCACCATCCTTCCTTCCTCAACTACAACGCTGCAACTATTACTCCGACGAACCTTGGCCCCTTCTACACAAAACAGCTCCAGGCCAGCAACAGCGACTGGTTTCCTACCACGGCTAGTGAGCAAAGAATACGCCAGAGGCACAAGTTCAAGCACATCGCAGCCATTCATTCCGCAATTACAACAGGGCCCCTGTCAGGTCGAAATCCATCACCTGCAACACGGAGGGAGGGGACGAAAGAGCGACTACTGTCTCCCTCACCGCACACACATGCCCTTGCTCTTACATGATATCCACCTCCACACAGGCCTCACATATCCACCAAATTACCCGCTTTCTCTGGTCTGATCCTGCGCCCGTCTGGCGACGTGCAGTTAAAGAGAGAGCCTTGGAAGCTCATACCCGCCAGCACAGGATCCAAACTGAGTGAGGTTGGCTAAGAAAACGAACGCACGCACATCTCAATCTAGACGAAGGACGAAGACGAGAACGCCGACACGCCGCACCCGCATGAGCCTCAACCTCATCTCGTCAAGCTTCCATTTTCCTTCCCACCTCTGCTTAAAAGCAGTATCTGCGGCAAGCACCTTACACGACAAGGGGCACGGCACGGTACAGCACATGGCATGAACAATCATTGTCACAAGCATCAATAATCATCGGGAATCATCAAGGAGGAATCAACCATGGCGAGCTTGGGTCGGTCGTTCAAACCACCAGCGTACCTGCGGGCGCGATCCCGACCTGCAATGACTGGAAGAACCTTGTCCAGCTCTTCAGATATTTCGGTCGTCTCGACAGGATCCCGCTCCGACGCCGATGACCTGCTCATGTCTGGGCTCAATACGCCAGCGTACGAAAAGCCAAAGTCAGGACAGGATGGGTTCAGGATGTCAACGGCCACCGAGTTGTGCTCTCCCAAAGGTATGTTTCAGCTCTTTGTTATAGGTCGGGCCATTATTCTATGCTCTTTTCAAGTTTATCAGTTTCCCACTTTTGATTTATCTCCAACTTCAGCTTTGGACTTTTCCCCCGCCTATTCCATGGGTTTTCAGTTCACTATTGCAGGCTTGCCCCCGGGTGTCTCCTGTTTTTCTGCCCTTTGGCAGTCGCACCTGGGGCTGTGGGCTGTTCTGTTCCTGTGTCGTTAATTTCGGTTGATCAATCGGTCGCTGTTTTCTGTTATGCACTCCGGTACCTGCACCCGACCGTCAATGCCCCCCGTGGACCGCAACGTCGGCGCCGACAAGGACGGACGTTGGCGCCCATTTGCCCAGTGCTTCAGTGAGCCTGTTACTACTCATGTCCCTAGACTTGTGACAGCGAGTCAGGAAAGCTAGTCGGCTAGGGTCAAATGACGACGGCGCAGTGCACCGTGGCACCGTGGCTCGCAGCTGGTCTTGGAGACTAGGTTGTCTTGGATTTCCTCACGACCTTCTGCCTCTGGAGTTACAATGACTGCCGAGATGAGAGGAAACCCCTCCGTTCATCGAATCAGAGATACAGGACCGGGAGTACAGCCTACAGTCTGAGCCAGTCAAGAGGAGAGGCGGAGAAGAGGAGATATGGCCTCCCCGATGAGCAGACGGGATGGACTCCGATGAGCAGTGAGTGGCCAATGCCCCTCATCAGTTACCTCAATTCAACGCAACACCGAGTCGCCGACTTGCCGATGGCCACCATTGGGTTAAGGTACTCTCCTGATGGTTGCGTGTGCGAGTGCTTGCGTACCGCGAAAATGAGGTCCTGGTAGTGCTTACCTTGGGTTCGTTTGCTCGCTCCAGCATGACCAGACACGGATCACCACCTCACACCAAATCCCTGAGAACTATGGCATTGTGTGCAAAAAGGCCCAAGGCCTTCCATGCCTGACGCTCCCATAGCTTTGGGCTGTGCCACTGGAATCAGGTGGTGTCTTTGGGGGCATTAGGGAGTGGGGATGGTGCGCCAGCGCGTTGTCTTCTGGACGCACCAAACGTTGTGTGGGTGTCAGCATGAGGTCCCTTCACTGCGTTCGGTCTGGTCCGCGCCCTCCCGGAGACTGAGGAGCGGAACTGACGCGGTGAAGTAATGGGGATGTGATGCTTCCATCCACGCTGAGGTGGTGGGGAGGGGCCGGAGGGGCTGGGACGCTGGGTTGCTGTTTAGGGACTGGTCTGCTAAGCGGCGGCTCTGGTTCACTCGGCCGGGACGGACCCTGCCCGCCAGATGGCAGAACATCGTCATCATTCACTCTCATTTCTGCTATCGACGGGGTCACCCCCGGCCCTAAGCCCTTTTTCTCACCTCTCCCAGAAAGTTCGTTCCCGTCTCGCATGGCCACCAGGGACCCTTACAGTTGCGTCATGCACATAGTGTATTTTCCTTTCTCTTACGCAGTTATTTTTTTCTTCTTTTCCTTTTGGGCCCAAGACGCTTGATCGGAATTTTACACATCCATGTTCCTTGCTTAGGTTCTCAAGAGGATACCCTCGAGACTAATCCGCCTTTTGGCTCTTCTTAATAGGCGAATCGTCCGCACCATGCCTTCTCGACCTATCTGCTCTTCAATCTGCACGATACAATCGAACTCGCTCAATTCCTCTTGACCCGTCTCCTACGACTAGTACTCTTCGAAAGATAAACTCGGCTCCTGCCTGCACGCCCACACCTCCCGATCCTTTGTCAGCCCGTGGCGACCTCTCTGGGTGAGTCCTAGTTTTCTTTCCCGCCGCCACCTTAACGTCTTTCCCGAATAAGCCAACCTTAAATCTCTATTCTCCCACTCAACTGTTTGTCGGAATCACTGCACTTTGGTGGTACGGTGCCGTGTGCTAACACTGAAATCACAGTGGTTACTTTTCGTTCCACGAAGATCCCAAGGGCTCTACCTCTCGCCTTCATCCTCAATCAACCAAAACCGAGGGTCGATTGCCTAGACACAAGGCCGCTTCTCTCACTGTCGACTCCTCCCTTCAAGCCGACCTCCGTGGCGCTTCCCGATCTGCAGCCATGGCACCATCAATCCATCTCTCTCCCATGAGCGCTGCCGACCCTTCAGGTTCATCCGCCGTCAACACACCCGTTACCTCATACATCCCTAGTGGTGTTCACGATACATCCTTGCCAATGGGCAAGTACTACCCTTCGAACTACGAGCGAAACAGCAGTCAAGACGGCCGCATAGGACCTTCTGGACCCCCGAGCCGTGTATCGTCAACACGATCAGAAGGCCACATTCCCACACGCGAGGCCTTCAGGTCATCCTCACGACAAGACTCCGAGGTCCGCCGCAAACTACAACAATATCAACGAGACATGATCGCCCAGGCAAGACTAGCGGCGAGCGAAGTGCTTGGAAGTTCACCAGGTCAAGTCACCGCGGCGGTTCCCAGCTCCACTATTACCTTGAATGGGGTACCCTTGACGAGCTTACACCATATCGGAAGCACCGGCGTCCACAAACCCATCTCACCGAGGCTTTTGCCACTGGGAAGCCCGGGACCCGTGACGCCGATGGATCTGGAAGGAGGATTAGGGCAGAGTGGATATCTCGATCGGGGTCGCAATGATGAGATTGCCCGCGTGTTGCGGGCCGAGGAAGACCGTATCCGCCGTGAGGGAGCAACTTCGCCGGCGGTGGAAGCGGGTCCGCAAGTTTTCTAAAGTGGCAAAAAAAAAAGAAAAGAAAAAAAGATGCCAGTATTCGTCGATCGAAGCTACGGTGGCGTGGTTCATCTGGGGCCACATCATCTCAGTATGACGACGGCTGAAGGCAAGGGGGAGGAAGATACGCAGCACAAAACAGACAAACGGAATGGAGTCGGCAAGGTCAAGACGATCGTTCATGGTTATGATACCCTCTGGTTATTACAGCAAAGCTTGTTTTTTTTTTCTCTATTTAGGATTGGGGGAACAGTACAGTTTGGTTTTGCCGGCGGAGGATGTGTCTGAAGCCGGACCAGCCATCTGTAATGCATGCATGGATTGCGGCGTTATCTCTACACTCGTTACGGGATTAGATTCGTGCGGGCCATCTTCGCATCGGTGTTATTTTTTTCCCCCACTCCTCAGCTTCGGCTTTCGCTCAAGATTAGACAGAGAGGGCGGCGGATAGACTACATGGGGAGGAAGGACAAAATGAACAAGATACTACTTCCACCTTCACATTTGATGGGTACCTCATGAATGCTTCTTGCCGATATGTTTGAACGATATCATTCTCGCGGATATGTGAAGAGTTCGAAACACACTCTCGGGCATCAAGCAGCTTTACAGTAGTTGGCAGGGAAACTGCCCCGTACGCCACCTATCTCGCCTACCCACCAATCCTGATCCGTGTCTGTCTTTTTGATGATTTTGATCATGTCTCCCTCGTTGAAACTCAGATCTCCGTCACTCCCTGCGAAGTCATATTGGGCGACGACAAATTCTTCCGGCGCTTTGAAGCGCTTGGCTGGGGGCGGCGGTGGTGGTTTCTTCTTCCCTGCCAGACTCCCCTGACCCGGGATGAGCCCCGACTGGTGACCAAAATATTCGGACTGGGTACGTGAGTATGACGGCGACACGTTAGGTGAACCCTGGGTCTGTCCAAGAGACGTGGCGGTAGTGAAGTCGGTTGGCAATCCGAGCTGAGACCGCGAGACATTCGTGCTACTTGACTGCGGGCTAGGCTGAGGGGAGGGCTCCCGAGCCATGGATGGACGGCTCCCTCCGTTGTTTGAGGGAATTCGCATGGTCCGAGGGGTCGGTGTTGCGCCCTCGTTCATGCCCGAAGGCGTCCGACCCAAGCCGTTCCGTGACGATGTTGATGTCTTTCGGCCCTGGCCGTCATCCCCTACCCTTACTGGTTGCCTCCAGTTCTTGCCATGTGCTATGCAACTGATAGCCTCCACCTCCTTCTGAATCGGTACAAAAGATGCTGCCCAGGTTGATATCACGCTGTCCATCGGGGGTGGGGGAGAAGGAAAGTCGTGATCTTCGCAGTAGTTGTGAAGTACAGTGTAATACAGCCCGAGAAGCCTATTTTGGATCGTAACGTGAGAGGCTAGAATATGAGGAATCAATGTGAAAATAGCTTCGATGATCGGAGGCAAAGCTTCCCTGATGTGACCGTCGGCAACTTGGAACTCCTGCGACCATGGTTCGTCAATTTCAGGAACCCAGATCCGCGTGATGAAGTACTTACCTCGGACGCGCAAGTCATCTCGAACTCGGCCTTTGACAGGGCAGCATCTTCCTTGGGCGTCTTGCCGGGCTTCTTCTGGAGCTTCTTGACCTTTTCCTGAGCCTTCTCATAGTCCAACCTCTTGTTCTCCCGCTGCTTGATAGTCTTGCGAAGGGGCTGAATGTACTCATGGGCCTCGGTAGCAGGGCCAATGACCTGCTTATCGATGGCCGTCACTTCTTCGGTCAGTTCGTCCTTGAGGTCAGAGTAGGCGCCGCTAAGCTTGAAAGTGCGATCGAGCTGCAGCTGAGGAGTTGTAACGCTGGGGCGGCCATGTCCCTCCGAGGCTCCAACAATTGGGTCGTACAAGCCCTCGTACTCCTTTACCATGGCCCACTGGCTAGTGGCCATGGTGACCCATGCTTCACGGAGAGTCTTGGTATTCTCGATAATCTAGCAACACGAGACCCATGAGTTAAGATTATAACACACACATGTGAGGACCTCTTCAGGTTGAGAGGGTTGTAAGAGGAGGGTACCTTGACTAGCAGTTTGTCTGCATCTTCGTAGTCGTGTAAGACGGCAGCAATTTTGGCATTGTCTCCGGGGCCCTTATTCATGAGCTTGCCGAATTGTCTCTGCATCGACTGCATCTTGAGGTTGAGTAGCTCGCAGGCAGCAACTATTCCGATTTCGGGGACGAGTAACAGTGCAGTGCTACACTCGGCGAGGCGCAAGTGGAGCGACGGACAGGCGAATGTTACCACTTTTCCAACACCTTAGACCAAGTGGTGAAGTATGGCGACGAGGGGTTGGCCGTGACCTATGGGCAGCGTTTGGCGAGGTTATGTCGCAGTGCTGGTCGCAAAATGGAGGAGGGGTTGGATTGTTGAGAGGAGTAGGTAAAGCAGGAGAGCGTTGGTGGGCAGACGAGTAGTAACGGCTCAAGCTTGCCGACAAGCCGTGTGATGTTCCTGCCTACCTACGTGAGGTTGGTAGGACTCCTAGGTAGGTAGGTACTCGGGTGAAGAGCATCGAATAAGGCTGTGCCTAGCTCCCTACCTAGTGTGGTTAGCTAAGGTAGCGGTTGCGTGAAGGCGGGATGTGGAGGATGGTTACCTTTGGATTGGTGACTGGCTAGACCTGACGCTGGATGGGAGGGCGTAGAAGCGGAGAAAGTTACGAACAAATACTCAGTACGGGGAAAGAATAGGTCTATTAGCACTTCAAGGAGGGGAACCGAGTAATTTGGGGGACGGGATTAATTACGCCAATCTTTTTTGGCACAAACGGGAAGCCCAACCAACCGGGTCAGCTTCTGGAAGTGCCCAGGATACGCAAGACGAAGCTCGGCCACTGTGGAGTGGACAGATATCACGCCGTTAATTCGTGTCGATGGATTCTCTACCTTAGCTATGTGTCATTGCCGGGTACTCGCTCTGTACGAATACAGCTCCCACTGCTACCTTAGCTCACCTCAGGCTCAGGGCAAGGTATCTAGGTATCTAGGTATCTTTCAAACCACCTGTATCGTGTCACTGTCCGGGGACTGAAACAAGGAACAAGACCGAAGACATGGCAGAGCAGCCCCAAGTCGAATAACATCAAGCCGCTGCCAATCGATGGAAGTTGGCTGAGATTTAGTGTGGCGTACCGTGCCGCGATTGCCTTGAACGAGTCCAGCAGACTCCCATCTTTCTGATCAACTTGGCCTTTGACCCGCGCAATACAAACCCTAGAGGCCATGATGAATCCATGGTGCGAACCAGCAGGCAACCAAGCCCTCTAGGCGGTGAGACTTGAGTCCTACGAAGTTGGTATTTTGGTCGTGACCCTGTGATGGCTAAAGTACAGCCAAGTACTAAAGCTATGGTCGGCTGCCGGCACTGCTTCAGCCCACCCGGCTTCCACCAAAAGGAGACGGCCAAGGCCCAGTCTCAGTCACCCTGCCTGCTTGGCGTTCAGACGGGACTTGACGGTACCTAAGCTGCCCCGCCATGAAGTGTTAGCTACCTCAGCAAATACCAGGGGCAAATGGAGGTAGGTATCCGTCAGGTAAGGCACGAATACTTTGCAGATGAGGGGACATCGGCAGCCCATGAACACATGTGAATGTTCGTGTCTTGACATTCCCATATTGGACGATCACGGAAGCCTAGGTATCAGGCTAATTTCTCAGACCAGAATCCAGAAAGCTAGCCACGACGTGGAAAAACGTATCGCGCCAATCCCACTTCCTAAGCTCTTTTCTCGATGTTTACGCGTGCTGGCCGCGTCGCTAGATACCTATTCCATACATAAAATCCATACTGAACCAGGAAGATCCCATAAAGCCCTGAAAACTGAAAGGGAAGCCGCGGGCACCGTCTGAACCTAGCACACCTACCCCACCGGGTCCCTGACTGACGACATCACGTCAATTTCCTGCTCGATGGACAACATCCATTTGAAATTGACGCCTTTTTCACACCCTCATTATGATTTGTGAGCGGGGTGAGTGCATCATGCACTTCTAGTCTAGGGAAATATCTCTAAGCTGCAGCCTCTTGCTCACTTCACCTTATTTCAGCAACGGAGGTATTGAAAAGGAAGTAGGCAACTAAGAGCAAGGAAGGGGCTGGCCGCACCGACTGGACCGGAAGTGCCAATCATGTGACTTGGCGTCTCACCTGGCCCTTTTACACGCGCCAAACTTAGTCGCGTCTACCAGGCTTCACCTCAACCTTCGACATTGGGTAGGCACGGCCTGCATATTGCTATTCCAACTTATCTTTACAACAAGCAGCATGCGGCTCATTGACTTTGGCCGCGGCTATCGTCTTGATCACCATGCCTCTCGCCAGCCGTAACAGCAACCAGAATAGCCAAATGGGCTCTGTTCTCCCGATTGCCGCCCCAGTGTTGGAATATATATGTCTCTTCACCCACGATCTGAAAAGAAAACAGAAAAGATGGCAGGACGGTCGCCTGAAATTTCATACGTTCAACAAGCGCATCATGGTCTACGATGAAAGAGGGAATTTCATCGGCGATATGCACTGGCGGGAAGACTTCGACTTTGGTGAAGGCGAAGAATTCAACTTGGAGCGCGGAGCCGTCATAGTCCAAGTAGCCGAGTGTATCGGTAGCAAGGACCAAGACTTGACTGAGCTCCTCGACAAGAGAGCCAAGGAGGTTGAACAGCGACATGCTCGCTCTGCCGCAAATACAACAAACCAGCCTCACCCACCCACACGGCCATCAGTCCAGCATCCCCAAGCCCAATATCGGCAACGCCATTTGTCTGACGTCTTCACTACTCCTCGCGGACCACAGGGGAGGGCCGTGATCCCAACCACATCGCCATATGAAGACCGGGTGATGGCTCAGCAATCTTCGAGTCCCCAGGACGAGACTCAAAGGCCCACCAAGAGGAGGAGGAGAGAGGTATCGCCGCCCAGCAAGTCAGGCTACGCCCAAAATTTGTTTGGCGCAACTCTCAATCTATCGTCTTGGTCGGCGAGCGCCCCGGTGCGAAGTCAACCCGCACCGACACCGAGAAGCGTTGCTCCCTCTGTGGAAACACCACCTCGCTCAGTTATTCCAAGCAAAGGCGTCAACTCCTCCAGGCCAAAGCCTTCTGCAGTCGTTGATTTAACCGACGTTAATGCAGTACCAGCGAGCAATGTCGCATCTTCGATAACATGCGAGTCAGAGATTCCGGCCACAAGTAACACCAGTGCGTTAGCAAGAGAAGCCCCGCTAGGTCAAAGGCCCTTTAAGAGGCCAAGCACGCCTGTCTGCAGAGATTTATCAGTGGAAAGGGACGTGGAAAGAGACGTGGAGATCATCGAGAACCCTAGAAAGGTGCTGGGCCCTAGCAGTCATCAATCTGAGAGTCGCCTCGAAGCCCCGAAGCAAACAAACTCAAGAAAAGGCAATAGGAAGTCGCAAGACGGCAAAGAAGAAGCTGTTACACACCGACTAGAAGATCGGCCTGACAAGGGCGCCATGCCCCAACCTGCGCGACTTCGTGCTCCAGCAACGGCAAAGAGGAAGGCGCCAGGAATCCACGAACACCCCCTGGAGAACGAAAGCACTTCATTGATACCAGCAGCGTCGGTGCCAGAAAGGACTTTGGTATTAGGTGATGAGGCTGAAAATGCAGAAGAACCAAAGACCAAACTTCGCATCAAGACAAGAGAAAAACGCGGTCTGATGGTGGTCGCGAAGAAGGCCACCACGAAGACCAAAAAACGGCAACTGAGTTCACACGCAAATGGGCCAAACCCGTCAACATCAGATGGACAGGCCATAACGGATGCCACTCTTTCGGAACCTAGTCCTACAACGATCCCTGTTTTGCCTATAGAAAGTTCACCGGGGAATCCGGCGCATGGCAGCTACACGGAAGCCGCTCCGAAGGTTGATGTCGGGGCCGGTAGAGTGCAAGACCACAAACAACCCGACGAGGTGGCTGAGGATTTGGTTCAGCCTGAAATCTCCGACGAAGAAAGTCGTTCATTATCCGGACACTCCCTGCAGCCAGCGCGGACGCTAAGGACACGGAAAGCTCGATGTAGCCCGGACAGGCAAGACGACGTGGAAGAGCTTCACGTCAATACAGGCCCGCGATTAGCATCTCTTGGTCGAAGGACTGTAAAAAGCAAGGAAATCATTGGCTCGTTCAACACAAGACCGCCTCGCAGATCCCTCGAAACTTCGGCCGCGACTGCAGCGCCTCAGAGAGAAGCCCCCGCTACGACTGAGAGTCATTCTGAAGCCAATTCTTCGGTTTCTAAAACATTGGGTGGCGTTCGACAAGCAGAAGCCATAAGGCTTACCAGAACGACTCGGTTAGAGAACCCAGCAACGAGGGGCCGGAAAGCGGCACAGAAGTCAGATGCTATGGGCGCTGTTCCAGAGCCAGTCTTGGCGGCTAACCTCGACGCAGCTCTCAATAGGAATCTCAGCAGAGTTAGCAATAGATTAGAGGCAAGGAGTGGCGCTGAAGTCGGCGTGGTGGCCGGTGAGCCCAAAAAGAAACTTCCCGGATTTCAAAGGGCAAATGGAGGTCCATGGAGCAAAGAGGCTCACGATTTGTTGGGATGCACAAGACCTGGGTGAGGAGGCTAGCAACAGAACAGGACGATGGATTTCGACAAACAGATAGACAGGCAAGTGGAATCACGGAGCTCGCTCGATCCCAATCCTTGAGGCGCGGCTTTCATGTCGCGTTCCTGGGAGACAGAGTTTAAGGATCTCGCACGCGCCGGACGCTTGACCTGCGAAAGCGAGGATATCTTCGGGACTTCGTCACTGTCAGCATTGCACTGTAGTGTGAAGCTACGCAGGTACAGGCGAAAGTCGAGTACCTAATTTGGATTGATCCAAGGAATTTATGTAGCACTACGTTAAATGGACTGGTTGCGCCTCCATTTCCCGAGATCGAGCTCAACATGCTGCCCGTAACGTCAGTCCTGAGCCGTCCCTCCCCCCAAGGTGGTAACGAAGTGATGGATTTACATCGGAGACTCCTGGGATGCGGGAACTGGCCGGGTCAGAGCTGAGTAGGAAATTTCTTCCAGCAGCTGAGATGAACGGCTGCGAGTACAATCAATCCAGTAGTCTGTAGATTGGGCAGACCCCAGCAACGAATGCAGAATTCATCGCTCATCAATGGGTACGAACGCCGCTCATCGTCCTGGTGAAAATATTCGTCTCTGCTAATGATTGACCTTGTGAGACTCTTGCTCGATACGTTTGTACATAGTTGTCCGTCGTTGAGTCTACTCAAGTGCTGCAAGGCACACACACCTCTACGGCCGTATGGAAGTGAAATATGTATGCTACATAGATCGAGTGTTTGTTCAAACACACTGTAGAAGTGGAGCTCGCCCCAAATAACGGTCGATGGAGGGGAGGGTGCCTCGGCGTGAGTGTGTTGGAGATCACGTGGTTGGCGGTGATATATTGGCTAGATGATGCTATCACGACATGTCCATCCTTCCTCCGTATGCGATTTCATGAGCCCTTGCCGTAAACTGCCTTATCTCGGGATATATTTCAGCTACTAGAAACACAATGCAAAAGCTCGGCCATCCTCACAGAGGGCCTACGAAAATCCCTGAAGACTTTTACCAGCCTCAGGTGTAGCGATGCAGGGATTTTTCACGAGACTCGAGCTTGCGACCTGTGCAAGCGGGGCAATTCTATCACAATCCTCCCCGCTACGTCACAGGCCTTGGTAACAGCTCGCTGTTCTCTTGTTCATCATAGAGCTGTTCGGAGCGGTGTCTTCGAGGTAGACTTGCATCCCTGGGGCTGATGGCCGGGCGCTTCCAACCACCTCATCGTCGAGCCGTGTCTGGCATCCAGTAGTTAACCTTTCGGGGATTTGAGCGAAGTGTTACGAGCATCCCGGCCTTGTAAGCCCGGAACACGGTCACAATAAGGCTCAAGGCTCCCGAGAAGGGTCGTCAATTCTACATACAGTTAACAAAAGCATATACTGGGATAACTGAGCAACGACGATAGTATACACTCATGTGCTGCGACTCTTTTGGGACGGAAAGCGAACGCCGTATACCTCAGGGTACAGCAACGTCCAGCAACCAACTCAGTCTCCCGCCAGCTCTCCCCATTTCCAACCCTTGCCATTTTGACTACAACGACCAAGCCAGACATACGCCAGCTATGGCAACACTGGAAAATCGTTGATTTCTGAAACCTGACATGAAGAATCCTGCGCAAAATATATCGAACGTGTACATGGCCAATCAGGTGTTGCGCCTCCCAGCCGCCGACCACCTCTGGCCAGTTTCGGACCGAACTTTATTTGCTATTGTGCGAGAATGACCTGCTACGCAGAATCAGGTGCCAGGCGCATCTGAGTACTTTTTTATCGAAGAAAATGAAAGCTTTTTGAGCGCCAGATGAATCACTTCTGGGATAAGTATAGAGATTCAGCCACCAGGGTGTGCTGTGGTTCCGGTTCAACAGGTCCTTAACCGATGCCTTCGGTAAGGTATGTGAGGGCGGCTTTACGACATTGGTAGGATAATTCACAGGGGACCAAAGTTCCACGCATTCGCTCCCATTCCGTGGTAACTGAGTCTTATCATATTGTCCACCCATTCGAGTTCTCCTCAGCGACGGGAGAAACAGAAAGCAGGTCCAGGCGAGTGAAGGAACTTATATGAAATAGGTTCCCTCTTACTTCGGGGTCTCGATTGTCCTGACTTCACGACATGGGTGAATTGGGTTGGCTGGCACGAAGCTGGCACAAAGCTGGCACGGCTGGTTAGTGAACATTACAGACTACGGACCAGAGCCGAATGGAGCGAAAGGATTCCCTCGAATCCGAAGGACCAGACTAGCGTTGCAACGGCATGCCCATAACACAGCAAAAGTACCGTGCTTGGCCCATTTGCAGATGACAGCCATTCTGTATTCGTATTGTGCTAACTGGTCACACCCCGGCTGCCTTGGACCAATTGAGCGAAGCCAGCCACACACTTGTCAGCAACCGGGCAGATTCCGCTCTATGTGTGGTGGCATTGGCAAACCAGAGAGGTGGAAAGCCTCGAAAGGTGCCTTGGAAGCTTAACACAGAGAGGTTCCGGCACGGAACGGAAGGCAAAATAAAGCTTGTGTACTCTGTACTCTATACAGATACCTTGATTTCCTTCGTTTGGAGGTTCTAAGCCTCATGTACCCGGCATGACTTGGCATTCTGGAGTCTTAGGTTGTCTCTTTCTAGCTAAGGGATTCGTGGTATATGGGGTTTACCGCGCACCACCCCGCTTATAAGATCACGACAGGATCCATTGATAACCTGTCAGCCTCCTCAAGCGAAGAGAGTATGTTGTGCTGCGTCCGGGGAACTTTTGGCATCATCTGTATCCGTACGTCTTCCTCCCAGGGCCATCGTGCATAATACATGTACAGGGTGTGTGTGGGATACCTTCAGGTACGTCGTTGCTTGTGGCAGGAGCTTGTGAAAGCAGGTCAGTAAGACCTCAGACGGATTATGACTGATTGTCTGAAGCCTCAGGCGGCCGCCATTGGCTATGGGTTGAGTCACCTAGACCACGTGACCTAAGATTGAGCGTCATTGACCAATTAGAGACGAGTATACTCGCCGAAAACCCAGCGCCCGGCTCACAAGTTGCGGGGCGTATAGGCCAATCAAACTCACTCAAGTGGATCTCTAGCTCCGTTTATGCATCTCTCATTGGCCTCATCCCCAGACACCGTCCGCATTACGCTAAACCGCTTTCATCTCGCCGACGAGCTCAATCAAAACCACCGGCTGCGCCTTGCTGGGGTACCGATGGACAGCCAGTTGCGGCCTCAGCAGTGAAATACCATCCATGACTCCGGCCTGGCTCATCCGCTTCCCTTTCGAACTTCTCTTTCCAATCTTCAATACTGAAAAGCCGATTACGTTGATTAGCAGACCCGAGAGAAGCTACTCCGAAGCTGGAGAACTTCCCTTGATCCGTCTCTTGTCCCGCAACTTTTCCCTTCAACAACACTTCATCAGCCAACTTAGGAGGAATCCAAGTTGCTGACAAACTGCCTGCCTTTTGAAAGCTTCGTCTTCAGAGACAATCTCCCATCTAATCTCATCATCCGGTTTGCACCAAATTCATATCGGAAATCGCCTCGAACGAGAGCTTCCTATCAAGGTGAGCTTTAATCTCCATACGACTTGGTGTATTACCGCGATTCCCAAGGCAGCATGTAGTTCCTCAGTGGGGGGTCCTGGGGATTTAGACACTTCACCAGCACGATGTATCTCGTATCACTTTCACGTAAAAGCAGACAACCCCCCCCCCCCCCAAACACTGTCCTACCTTAACTCGACATACACAGAATTCCGGGCAGCTTGATGTAGGATATGAGGCCGGTCAAACAATTACTTACCCACTCTCATTAGCAAGCTTTCAGCAGACCTGGAAAACAATCCGGTCTTAGTTACTGCAGGGATCCGGTTCCCCGTCACCATATCTTCTACATTCCGCCGCATACCTTCCGTAGCCAACACTATCAACGCAATGTCCGGCGTGATACGAAACCAGTCTGCCGCTGCCTTCCAAGGCTTCTCCATCTCTCAGCCCTTCCTCGGCGCGTCTTTGCAGTTTTACCCTGAGATGGGTACCCAGGAACTCGACGACCTTGTCAACGCCTACCTCCCCGGCTCTGCCTCCATCCAGGAGAAGCGGGCCACCGTCTCCATGGACTTCTTTGCATTCTCTCAGCTCACTGGAGAGACCTTCAAGTACTATCCCGTTGCCAGCGATTCCAGCAGCTCCGCCATCTCCTCTGCCGGATCTAGCCCCATGCAGAACTCCAGCAGCAGCTCCAACTTCGTCTCCCCTGTCATTTCTGACTGGTCTTGGTCTCAGTCTACGCCCGGCTCAGCCTCTGCGTCAACTCCCGCATCCCTCAGCCAGGAATCCGTGTACTCCAAGTCGTCCAAGAGGGCTGCATCTTCTGCGGCAAAGCCCCAGGCTAACGACTTCTCCCACCTTCCTGGGATGAAGATCATGACAAAGGATGGTCGCGATGTCACAAACTCTGCTTCTCGCGGTTGCAAAACCAAGGAGCAGCGTGATCATGCACATCTGATGCGCATCATCAAGGCATGCGACGCCTGCAAGAAGAAGAAGGTCAGGTGTGATCCTAGCCACAAGAAGCGCACCACCACACAGGCACAGGGTGCGGCTGCCGCTCCAGCGCGGTCGGCGAAGAAGTTCAAGATGTCGAAGAGGGATTCGCCAGTAGCACCCCAAAGGTCACCACAACCAAGCACATTATTTTCAACACCAGCATTGTTTACAGAGCCCTCATTTGCGGACCTCGACATGCTCGATATGGCAGATTCTTGGGAGTCCTTCGTCCAGTTCGATGACGAGCCCGCCAATGTCGCGCCTTTCGAGTACGACTTCTTCTTCGACCCTGCGGGACACCTTACTCCCGAGTCAAGCCAGTCTCCGATTACTCCCTCGATGGTGTTCAGCCAGTCTCGGAATGGATCCGATGGCCTTCAAAACGCGGTTGTCAGCAGGCCATTCACGGACGAGCTCGATGTCCGGCCACCGGCGCTTCCTTACCTGGATTCTTCGCCGCGTGTCAGCAACTATGTCGACTTCAACCTCTACTCACCCGAGCCAAGCTTTTTGGATGACGATGTTGCACTGCTCAGTGACATTGGTACTACTACTACCAGGGCCCAGAGCACGGTGTCTCAGCGCCGTAGCTCGCCTCAAAGCGGCCAGTCGTCAGTTCAGCAACAAGTGCACCTCGGTCGCTCTCCAACGGCTCCAGATGATTACTTGGCAGACGATACCGGAGCACCGGTAAGCGGAACTGCACTGGGAGGAATCAGCGTCGCGATCCGTCGTCACCGTCACCGTCCATCGTCGGCAGCAGTACATGCTGGAGTTCCGGGCGCTTCGATGGTAAGCATTCCTTACACGGTACAGCCTGAACTTATTCTGACATTTGAACAGACCGAGTCTGAGTCTCAACTGAGCCTACCCGACCTCAATGCAACATCCCGCAGTGTACGCTCACAACGACTTGCGGATCCAGCCCTGCAACCAAGCTCGCCACAATTACAACCACTGCCACATGCCACGCCCCGCGGTGCTGTCAATTCTTCGGGAGTACATGCCACCTCACTTGGCGGCGTACTGCCAGGAGTAGTTGGCCGTGTGCCAACGTCCTCCGTCATTGCGCCCTCGCGCTCCTCGACCGCCGTCGAGGAGGCGTCTTATTACGCGCATATCACGAGGACAATAAATGGTGCCAATGGTCGTGGAGCAATTATTAGTGGAGGATCCAGCAGCGTCTCTCCGGATGCTCAGCTCCAGCTTGCCACGCCAGAGTCGTCAGAAAGTCGTCACAACACCGCACATAGCGTCACCCGTTCCTCTGCTGGCGCCTTTGTACTAGGCGGGGTACGCATTCTGACGGAGGCGGTTGCGGGTGGCAGCTTGACATGCAAGCGCCGCTCTCTCGTCGACTGGCTGTCCAAGTCGCAGTGCCTGGTATACGTGGCACTCTTTGCGACTGTGCTCGGGTTTGTTGCGCAAGTCCTCACGGTACAGGCGTTCGCCAGCCGATTCTTTCAACTCGCTTTTGGCCTAGCGATATACAAGGTCTACCACTCTTACTCAAGTCTCTATGACTCGAGACCGGAACAGAGCCATCTTGGGACCGCCACGTCAAAGCCGCAGGGCTTGAGCGACGGCGCGAGGCTTCTCTCCTGTGTCAGCACGAGACTACGACGTACCTGTCGACAGAACCAATCCACACAAGCCCCGTTTAACGGGGCGCGGATAAAGGTTTTGGGCCTCGCGCAAGGTCTCTCATGAGATCTTGTGTCGACCACCTGCGGCTTGGGCTACTGGCCCTGGCTTGTATGGATATGATAGTTGTCGTAGTGTTTTTGTTGCTGTCTATTGGGAGCGTTGGTTTCTGAGATACCCCTCTGTTTTTTGATGAGACGTGCATTCTTCAAGAATGGCATGCACGTCAGCTATATCATCGGGCAAGGTTGTGTTCTGTTGTACAGGCTGGAACCAGTATGCTGGACACTGAGCAGTTGCGTATGAACTGCTGTATAGTCTAGTTAAATTTGGTGGTAGCGTGGTACGATATAATATAACTGCCTTGCTCACACTTCTTCATGTTTACTTTCGCCCGACGTGCACTCATTGTATACGGACACGACCATCTCAAACCTGTAGAAGGGCTTACCAAGGACCTCGGACTTCAGATTCGTCCTTCCTCTCAACACGAACTTAAGTACCCTGAGAAGGATACGTTCGAGTGGTCAGTGCCACCGTTTGACAGCGAGGTCACGTGATGCCGTGTGTTCCCACCTAATGCAAACTTCATCCATGGCAATAGGGTAGATCGGGGCCAAGACTAATTCAACCTTGGCTACTTACAAGCCAGGGGTTTTCGTGACTAACAATACCCTTTTATCCATAGTGAGTAGCAAGCCAGGCAAATAGGTTTATTTGCTTTTATTGTCTCGAGCGACGTGTGCTGACTACAGCCAGACTGAGTCATCCTTGTTTGTCACTGCGACTTACTTAAAGTCCTATCCAGGGCAATTCTTAAACAACAAGCGCCTAACATCGCATGTGGTTTCAGTTCAGGTGCTCTTCAAGTCTCTGGTCCACACTTTGTTTCGACAGGACAAGTATTAAAGGACCTATTGCAATAGAGTCAGACAAGGGAACATACAGAACCATCTTGACACTTGAAAAGTCGGTTCCTTGCAGATTTGAAACTTTCCCAGTCAAGTGCCAACAAAAGCCCTTGACAAATCGATTCCTTGTTCGAACAGAAAGAGCAGCGACAAAGGAGCCTCTCGCGAGAGACGCAACTTCTTCACAGCGTATCCGAACTTACCTTGCCTTGGGTGTGTGTCTACCTGATCTAGTAGGCTGGGGACTCCCCAAACACAAGGGCAGCTTGCAACATCCTACCTTGGCCAGCATCGAAATACGCTGTACTTTGCGTCGTCCTAGAACCTCTCGGTCTCTTGTCTACTTGACAAGACTACCGTAGTCCAGTCCGTTGCTACAGCCCTGGGTTAACCCGAGCCACACAGAGCAAATAGCCCCCACTCTCATTTCTTCGGGAAGGCAACGATTGTCTACATCTCTGAAGTCATCAAGTGCTCTCTGCATCTTACCTTAGTGCCAGTCATACTGCGTGGCTTGAATCTGTGAAGGTTCTGTGGTACCTAGGGTAGAAAGGCATGCACTAAGTTGGATCCTTCCCAAAAAAATCACCATGAACGCTCCTGCCTCTTCAGATGCGTCTCCAGGTGGACCTGGGCCTGAGTCTGGGCCTCGAACCGGAACACAGGATAAAGATAGAGGAAAGCGGGCTTCGACAAGCAAGTTCCTGCAAAACATATTTTGCCGCCTCAAAACCTCATTCACCCCCAACTCCAAATCACCATCCTCTTCCTCACCCACCCCAGCGCCCTCGTCCCAGCTACCAGCAACAAATACCGCCCAAGCACAACCAAGCCAGGCAGGGCAGACATCAGTGCAAGAAGACGCAGAGATGGCTGGCGTTCTTACTCGCCACAGTCAGTCGACTGAGCCTGCGCTGCCTCTGTATCCCTCCAGCAAGGCTCCTGTTCCCGCCTCGGGAGATGACAAGGAGAACCAACCCAGCGCCCCTGTGGTCTCTGTCCCAGCTCCGGCCCTGAGCCGTATGAGCCTGGAATCCGTCGGTCGGCCGCGGTCATCAGCCTCCATCCCCCAGACCACGCTCACACCTCTCAGCGAGAGGCCTATGCACCAGATGCTAATGGACCAGGCATTGGATATGGTAAGCAGCTAGACCGACCAGCAAGTCCCCTCGTTGCAATGAAACATCCCTAATATCGTATCCAGGCTCGACTAGCACTGCGCACCAACGAGACGCCCGTTGGCTGTGTCCTTGTCCACAACGGATCGGTCATTGCGAGAGGCATGAATGCCACGAACGTGACCCGGAACGGTACCCGCCATGCTGAGTTCATGGCATTGTCTGCACTGCTGTCCTACCGACCCAACAATAGTGAGGAGGCCGTCGAGGCTCAGCTTCGCCAACAGGCCAGCGAACGTTCCAAAGTAGATGTTCCTGACGATGAATCGGATCTGTTCCCGGATGACGACGAGTATGTCAGGAAAGGTCACCTCTACCCTTACGGCCAGAAGCTTCATCTCGATCCTCGGGTCGACCGCGCTATCGTCAGGGAGTGCACTCTTTACGTTACAGTCGAGCCCTGTGTCATGTGCGCCGGTCTTCTTAGACAGCTTGGCATCAAGAAGGTCTACTTTGGCGCTGTCAACGACAAGTTTGGCGGAACTGGTGGTGTATTCAGCATCCACAAGAACTCTACAGACACCCGCCAAGACCCCAACCCAGTCACTGTTCTCAGGCCCATTCAGATCAATGCATCCAACGCTCCAAGGCCGGCAAGCTCTGCGTCTGGAAAGAGTTCCCTCAACAGCAATCGTCCCGCGAGCCGAGGTGGCGATGGCGGAAACGTCGAGCCAGGTTTCGAAGCAGAAGGTGGTTGGGGCCGCGACGAAGCTGTCGGTTTGCTGCGGAGATTCTACGTGCAGGAGAACGGAAGAGGTAAGTCGCTGATTAAAGGAAATCATCGAGAAGCTGGAAGCTGACACCTTCTTTAGCACCAGTGCCGCGCAAGAAAGAAGGCCGCGCTGCTAGGCTGGCAGCCATGGAACAAGCTGGAGGCGAGGGCGGAACGCCTGTGCCATCCGAGGCTTTTGACGTCGCTGACGGCGACGACCAAGGTGCCGCTGGCAATGGTCCTTCAACCGTCTCCAATGGTAGCGAAGACAGGGACGAGGCTTGAGTGCACTGCTGAGCATTTTTTTTTTTATTTTTTAAAAAAAAGCCACACGCATTACATACCACGGGAATTGATCATTAGATGGGGTTATCAACACTGATGGGACGATCCACCATTATCTTAGATTGGTTCTATTGTACTTTCAACGAAAGGCAACTAATAATAGACGAAGATGCATCATCATTCGGGTATCCTATCCAATTCCCCAATGTGGTACTAAAATGACTAATATCCCACAAAACTCCTCGAAAAGACTTCTTTTATTCCGCTCATGACGAAGACCTGTCACCGTGGGGGGTGATGGTTTCTCCAACCTCCTTGTCCTTGCCGGTGACAGAGCCGCCCTGCTCGGAGCTGATTGTCTTCTCCAGGGGCTGAGGCTCGGAAGCGGCATGCTGGTGTTCATCAGAGCGCCAGAAGTCCTTCTTTCCCTTGAACGCGCGGCGGACCCAAGGCGGCAGGATGCCGCCAGGAATGCGCCAGGTCCAGGGGTCCTTCTCGTTCTTGTTATACGGGACGATGCGGCCACCGGAGACCTTCTCGATGACCCAGACAAGGCCGTTGATGAGGATGTAACTGCAGACACCACCAATGAGGCCGTCGGCAATAGAGTAGGTGAAGGGCATGAGTGCGAGGGTGATGAAGGCGGGAACGGCATCACCCATGTACCTCCAGTTGATCTCGGTGACAGCGCGGACCATCATGGATCCCACGAGAACCAATACGCAGCCGGTGGCCCACGAGGGAATGGAGGCGAAGATGGGAGCGAAGAAGATGGAGATGAAGAAGCAGATACCAGTGACCATAGCAGTCAGACCGGTCTTGCCTCCCTCGGAAATACCAGCGCCGGACTCGACGAAGGCAGTGACGGGGGGAGTACCGAAAAGGGCACCAACGGAGATGCTGAGGGCATCGACCATGTAAGCGACGGAGGAGCCCTCGAAATCCTGAGTCTCCTCGTCGATGAGGTTGGCGAAGCGAGCCATGGAGTAGAGGGTACCTGTGCAGTCGAGGATGTCGACATACAAGAAGGTGATGAGGGCCAAGCCGAAAGCACCGCTGTATCCTCCGACATTCCACTCTTGAACATTAAGGGTCCTCTGGATCGGGTGGAAGTCGACAACCTTCTTGAAGAAGTCAAAGTTGGAGTCACCGATGACGGTGTCGGGGAAGTAGGTGACAGAGGTATTGCGGGGCCAGGAGATGATGCTGACGAGGATGATTCCGGCCAGGATGGCGCCCTTGAAGCGGTACATCATGAGCATGACGGTGAAGATACCGCCGCAGAAGATGCCGATCCACATGGTGGGGTTGCGCATCTTGGTCGAAGAGGGGCAGAGGCCGTCAACCTGCTCGCTCGCAATGCAGCCAGCCAACTCGAGGGGGGTGGAGGTGGCGCCGACGATCAGACCGATACCCTCGCTGTAGGTGAGACCGATGAGGGTGAGGAAGAGACCGATACCGACACCGGTGGCGAGCTTGATAGAGCGGGGGATGGCGCGAGCGAGCCATTGACGCAGACCGAGCAGGGCGAGGCCGAAGAAGATGAAGCCCTCGATGAAGATGGCGGTAAGAGCGACCTGGTAAGGGACGGCACCGGTTCCGTGGTAACCGACGACGGAGTAGGCAAAGTAGGCGTTCAAGCCCATACCGGGAGCGCAACCGACGGGCATGTTGGCGAGGAGGCCCATGAAGAAGGTAGCCAGGGACGAGATGGCGGCGGTGGCGGTAACGATGTCGCGCTTGACCTCTGCCACGCAGAGCATGTAGTCCTGGTCCTTGTCGCAAGTGAAGTCGTCGGCGTTGCGCGGGCAGACGCAGGTACCGCCGGAATCGGCGACGATGGAGGAGTTGACGGCGATAATGTAGGCCATGGCGAAGAAGGCGACGAGACCGGCGCGCATCTCGGTGAAGAAGAGTGATCCCTTGCGCTCACGGGGCTTTTTTTCATGACATGTTAGCATACTTGTCACGCATCGTCAT